GCCTTACCCACCTCCCTTGTCCTGCCTTCTACCTCTGATTACTGGTGCCTCAGACAGGCTACTGCTCTCTTGCCCTTTCTCACTTACTGCCTACTTGGCATCTACTCATCCCTCAGGTTATTCCCCAAGTGCTGGTCATGTTCCCTGTCTATGTTGCCGGAGTATCTTGTCGTTAATCTTCATAGTGGGTCTAATGGGGGAAGGGACCCAGTCTGTCCATAGCACTTTACCTCCAGGATCTAGCAGGGTGCCCCATGGATGGCATGGATGTTTTAATTTCCCAGGCTCAGATGTTAAGGTCATAAGGTCAATTTTCTTATGCCAGTCCCTAGTGTAGAATGTTGCAGACATTGATACTCAATACTGTTACCTTTTGTTCATAAAAAACTGTTTTGGGTTTTAGATATATTTGACCTGTGATCTGAATGATGAAGTTAGCCTCCTATTTTAATGCTTAATACAGCAAGACTTGGAATCTAAGAGACAGTTTCCTAACGATCTTACTGGGTCACTGTGTTCCTTAGTGTGGAGAGGCATTGGCTATCTCGCAGAGGTATTCTTAGACCAGAGGTGTCCAGGCATTCTGAGTAGCAGCACTAACTACAGTATGTGCACATGAATGTAGATATATCTGTGCTCTTCTCAATAAAGTATTAATCTTGTGAAAATCTGTGACCCTTTTATAATTTTTACATGTCTTGAGTGTGCCTGTTTTCTTGTAAGTTCCCATAATAGAGCTTTCAGCTCTATTAATATTTGTGATTTAAAATGCTTATTTCCCAGGGACCATTTAAAAACTAAATTGTGAATTTTTTCATCAAGTAATTTACTCACCACAACTCTCTCTCTCTTTTTTTTTTTTTGACACAGATCATCTTGTAATTTATCAAACAAGAAGATAAACAGCTCAGGTTTTAAACATCTGAGGTTGGGTGGTAAATTCAGGGAGTGCTTTGATCTACATTTCTCTGATGTCTGTCTCTGCTTTTCATTTGATCTCTTTTCCTTCAGACATAAATTAGATTATTTTTAGTGTTAGGGGCTCTCTTGGCATAGAAGTGTAGAGACTGTGTTTTGTCTTGGCTGATTAAAGCCTATGACTTGACCCTTCATTTTTACCGAGGATTTGTCAAGCACACCTGTAAGCAGTTCTACATGGTATTTGTGAATCCAAGTGTAACTGCCTGAGATTAGGCCCATACCCAGTGAATTAAAAGTGCTTTGGGCCTTTACATCACCAGGCACCATTTTCAGGTCTGATGTGTACTGCCCTGGGTCCGGCCAGAAGGAAACAGAGCTATGCATGCGGTGCAACATTGTGCATTCTCTGCTTGCTTAACCTTTGACGTGGGGAGCAAGGACACTAGGGGAGGCCAGTGACTGCGACACTCTTAGGAGTGGAACAAAGATTGTCTTGGCACCAGGCAGTGGCACCACGTCTGCTGAGTTGACGAATCCACAGGTGTTCAGCTGCCTGGGCAGGGCATAGCATTTAAGCTCACAGAGAGGCAAAAGGTATTACCTCTTCTTACAGTCAGGTACTTTTCTCCATCAGGTGTCAGAATTGCCAGGTGTGTTCTGTTGGCTGTCTGTTGGCATAATCCAGATGGTTCTCTAATTTCACAGATACAAACCAAATGAAGCACACAGACATATGGGGCCTGGGGAAGGTGGGAGTGGGACTTATTGTCTACAGTAATACTTTTCCCAGATAGCTTTACATAAACCAAATTTTATAAGATTTTCTCATTTTAATCTTTGTCATGCTTTCATTCTTTAAAGGTGATCCTTTGTAATGTGGACAGTCCTTGCAGCAAAGATACATATCCTCCTACAAAGGAATTTTTAAAAATCTTGATAGGTTAAGTTTTCTTAAATGGAGACATGCCCTTGGGGTCCTTGAAGGACCAGTTCAGCATTTACTTTTGGCACGAAGAGGTATTTCCTCCATGAGGATCTGGACTCTGAGCCAGATGGGCTGAATTGGAAACCTGGCTCTGCTACCAGGATAATACTTCGCTGTCTGTGCCTCAGTTTCTTCTTTGCTAAACAGCATACTAGTGATAACTTATTTATAGGGTTGCCATGAGGATTAAGCGAATAGTACACATAAATGCTGGATCACTGCCTGGACTGCATATGTAAGGTGCTTAATAAATGTCTGCTTCAGGATACGAATGCTTCAGAGTAGTCTTCTGTTCTCTTTAGAGAGAGTGGGTGGTGATACTATAAAGATTTACCCTGGTCATAGAAGCTTTTACTTAGTTAATATGAAGCTATCAAGAAAAAGACAAGGAAGTAACTTTATCTGGAAGAGGTTAATAAAAAAACAAAATAGGAAAATATTATGCCAACCTTTTAAGTTCAAATTGACTATAACAAGTTCCAAATCCTGGTGGCTTTATAGAATACAAACATATTTCTTTCTAGTGGGTCATTCAGATTGAAGTGGTCAGGCAGCCCTGCTGAGCAGTTAACCTCAGTGTGGTGATTCAGGAATCCAAGCACATCCTATCCCATGACTTTGGCATATTGGAGTTCTTCACTTCAGCTATGGAGATGAGGAAGAGAGACGATGGAGGTGGAGAAGGAGCAAGAAGAGAGAGAGGGAAGGAGAATGGAGGGAGAGATGCCGAGAGAAAGAGAGAAAGAGTATGAATGAATAGAAGCTGAGGATCTTATGAAGAATTTTAGGGAACAAGCATAGAAGTGACAAACACACCATTTCTATTCCATTTTATTGACTAGAACTAGTCACATGACTCTAGTCTACCTGCCTGCGGTTATGGGAAGTCATCTCTCCTTGTGTGCTTTGTAATAGGAAGCAGGATAGATGAGTAATTTTTTTAAGATTTATTTATTTATTTATTTATTCATGATAGACACAGAGAGAGGCAGAGACACAGGCAGAGGGAGAAGCAGGCTCCATGCAGGGAGCCTGATGTGGGACTCAATCCCAGGACCCCGGGATCACGCCCTGAACCAAAGGCAGATGCTCAACCACTGAGCCACCCAGGTGCCCAGGATAGATAAGTATTAACTATATAACATATTTTCTGCCAGTGTCACGTATTTGCTATAATTGATATGTTTGTATACTTCACTGTCAACTATTTCTAAAATTCTTTATAATGTTAAGACCATCAAGATTTACAAATCATGTTTCTTTCTTATTTTTGAAACTGGCAGAAAGTCAGGAAATCTACTGATCTCTACTTCTGAACATTTTATTGTGCTGTTAGCCAATAAACAAGGACTCTAGGTGATAGGATTTCAATGGCCATCTCTGATAAGCAAGTTCCTATTAAGGAGAAAGCCTTTTTGTTTTGTATCATGCTGGTGATTAGTAAATGACAAAAGGCAAAGAAGTTAATGATCCTGTTATGCATTGAAATTGCATGGGGCAATCTAAGAGTATTTTGTTTTGTTTTGTTTTGTTTACTGCTCTAGTAAATATGTCTCACTGTTGCAGCTAGTGTTTGTACTCAGCTTTGATGGGAAGGATGATGGCTGCTTTCTGTATCTTACATCAAACAAAGTGGCTTAATCCGGCAGGTTTATTAATAATACTTCATTTGAAAAAAATAATACTTCATTCGAGCAGTTCTCTTCAATCATAATTGGCCTCTGCACAGACTGAGCAGTTTATTTATAAGTGGAAACCTGGGGGAGTTTATAACTCCATGGACACATATTGAGGCCATGCTTAACTAAGCTTCTGGGTTAATATCTACCTCACATTTTGCATGTTTCATAGTTCTGTGAATTAATTTTGAATCCCATTTCTTCTGCCACGATTCAGATGCTTTACCACAGTTTGGAAGCAAAATAATGTTACGGCGGATCATGTGGTCTGCAGCATCACACTGGGGTCTATTCCCAGCTCAGCTACTCGGTCACTCTGGGACTTTGGACCTTTTACTGTTTGCTCTGGCTGCCTAGGAATTTCTAGTAACAACTACCAGACTGGGTGACTTAACTGAAATTCATTCTCATACAGTTCTGGAGGCTAGAAGTCTCAAGTCAAGGTACCAGCAGGGTTGGTTCTTCCTGAGGCCTGTCCCCTTGGCTTTCAGATGGCTACTTTCCTGTGTCTTCACAGAGTCTTCTTTCTGTACACTTAGCATATCATCCACTGAACTTGAGTCAGGAGCACCGCCAGCTCCCTGACTCACTTTTTTATCCTCTAGCAGGTGAGCTGCCCAGTCACATCAGTTTTTCTTTTGAAATGACTCTAGAATATTTGTCTTTTAATAAAAGTTAATAATAACTAATATGAGGGTTGTCACATATAAATACATATGAATTTGTATGCAGTAATTTTTAACTGACTATAAAATAATAGGTATATTCACTCTTATAAAGGCTGAAATATGTCTTATTAGGGATTGGTGGAACATGTTATTAATCCATTTAATGATTACCTAACTTTCTGTGCATCTATTTACCATTTTTTATTTTAATTTAATTTTTTAAAAATATTTATTTGAGAGAGAGTGAGCACAAGCAGGAGGGAGGGACAGAGGGACAGGGAGAGGGAGAAGCAGACTCTCTGCTGAGCCGGGAGCCTGATGAGAGGTTCAATCCCATGACCCCAAGATCACAACCCAAGCCAAAGGCAGCTGCCCAACCAAATGAGCCACCCAGGCACCCCTATTTACCTTTTCTAGAATTTCTATTTTTTAAAGGTTTTATTTATTTATTCATGAGAGACACAGAGAAAGGCAGGGACATAGGCAGAGGGAGAAGCAGGCTCCCTGCGGGGAGCCCAATGTGGGATTTAGTCCCAGGACCCTGGGATCACACCCTGAGCCAAAGACAGACCCTCAGCCACCGAGCCACCCAGGCATCCCTCCCTTCTGCTCCTTCTATTATTGTTGCCTTTTTCTTCCTTGATTCTTATGTGTCTCATTCCTAAAAGTATTCTGAAAATTTGCTTTTTTATTTTTTGCTTGGTTTAATTAAGCTTTTAATTTCATTATGATTATTTTTCTTGGCAGAAAAGAACAAGTTAGTACCTTGTATCTAAACATCAACCTTGTGGAGCCAAGACTAATTCAGCCATATGAACATGTTATCAGGAACTTTATCCGTGAGATCAAACTGCAGAGCACAGAAATGGAAAACCTGGCCATTGCAGTGAAGAGGTATTGAAGCTCTTCCTTCCTTCTTTTTTCTTTCTTTCTTTCTTTTTCTTTTTCTTTTTATCTTTCTTTTTTAGAGAGAGTGAGAGAGAAAGAGAGAAGAATGCGGGCAGGAGGGGGGAAGGGGCAGAGGGAGAGAGAATCTTAAGCAGACTCCTTGTGAGCGTGGAGCCCAACACAGGGCTTGATCTCAAGACCCTGAGATAATGACCAGAGCTGAAATCAAGAGTCAGATGCTTTACTGACTGAGCCACCCACGTGCCCCTGAAGCCCTTCCTTTCTAAGTGGCACGTGGGGTCAGACCTTTAACTGGCTCTGTGACCAGATGGCACATAGAGCTGCGCTATCACATTATGATGTGGGTGGACTTCCCCAACCTCAGGAATCTGGTGCTTCCTTGGCTGAGCCAGCATGAAGAAAGCTGAGTTGGGCAGTACTTTGTACGGGCATCCAGCAGTCCATCAGTAGGTCATCCTGTCATATAAACTTTTTAAGACCAATGATTCCATACAGAACAGCTTAAGAGATTTGTTATCTTATATCCAGCCACTTGAAACATACAGGAAACTTTCCATCCAGAGAAACAGACAGGACTCCACTAGAAGCCTGGCCTTATGAGACAGGGGTGTGACTTGAGGCAGGTTCCTGTGTCTGCAGAACAAGACTGTAAAATATTCAAGACTGTATGGAGGCACAGTAGATGATGTCATGGGTAGAGTCCCTCGTACCAGGCCTACCGCGTGGCTGGTGCTCACTGGTGGGACTCTTCCTGTCTCTGGCCTTCCTCATCAAGCCTGAACTTGAAAGCCAAAAAACTTTAAACTCATACTGTCATGCAGATAGTTTGTGTAAGCCATAGCTGGTTTACATAGGATATCTTACTGGTTTTACCAGCAGCCCAGTGCAGGGGAAGAGCTTATATGTGTTACAGTCTGAAATCAAATTTTTTGCTCTGCAGTGGCACCACAGTCCTTTGGCATTAGTGGGAAAGAGAGCAGTTTGTTTGCCATAATTCCTGGGTGTTCTGTTCTGCAGATGCTTCTCGTTGCCATCTGTTTTGGCAGTGTGTGTTGCATCCTGCTAGTCTCTGCCCAGAACCTGTAAAGGCCCCTTTGATAGAATGCACCCCCTCTGCAAGGGGACAGGAGAGGGTACTCCTCTATCTTTTTATTCTTTCCCTCAAAGTGATGCTCAAACCATCTAGTTGACCCTTTGGAGTTTAAGTGAAGGAAATTAAAATATAGGAGTATTTTAAAAACGCTAATGCTAAATAGGACTTTTCATAATTCTGGAGTCATATAAGAATTGAGCTATTCACAGGGGTTTTCTGAGGAACATTTTCAGTTCCTAACTCTGAACTTTTCCCTCAAGTTAGCCTGCTAGGGGCTTTCAATGGGATAGTAGGATGGTCCTCTGAACTCCAAATTCTGTAGAACAGTATGGAACCTTGGGTGATTCGCAGACAGACATATTGAGTTTTTAGACTGTCCAGTGAATACCTGTTAAAACAGACAGACTTCCACGGGCACTCACATACACAGACCTACACAAAGATATGTGGGACGCACACATACACATATTTATACATGACCATTAAGGATAGTACCATGTGAACCCACAAGGGAAAGAAGAATGGTCTTCTTCATGTTCTCATCACCAGCCCTGGCTGCTCTGTCCCTGCAGAGTGAGTGTGTTACCTGCACTGAGCTGTGTCAGTGCTTGTCTCCTCTCTGCCTCTGTGCTATCAGGGTATCCAAAGTCAGGCTCTGTATCAGCTATCAGAGATTTGCCGAAGTGCTTATATGATGACCGTGAAGTTCTCTTATGTTCTTAACTGAGACCATCTGCCCTCACCTGGGATTTTGGATGGGGAAGGTGTCTACCTTTTTGCACTGTACTTGCATCTGAAGAGTGGTCCCAGTGTTTTGACGAGATCCCTGGACTAGGTCAGAGTGGACAGTCTTCACCATGCCAGACATTTCACTAGGAGTTAGGAATTGCTGGGGCAAACACTATGTCATTATAGACCAAAAAAAAAAAAAAAAAGTTGCTCAGAAGTGAGGAAGGCAAAAAGAGCACATGTAGGAGCAGTCCTGGATGTCTAGAAGGAGAGGTTGGAAAAATGGTCACGGGAGAGAAAGGATGTGTGATTTGGCTGTTGTATAGTTCCAGAGTTGACCAAACAAAGTTTGGTCAAAACCAACAAAACAAAGTTGCTGTGGAGATACATAATTCCTAGATTTCAGGTAGCAAGTATGTATGTATGTGTGTATTTATTTATTTGAAGATTTAATTTATTTGAGTGAGCATGAGTGAGGAGGAAGGCAGAGGGAAAGGGAGAAGCAGACTCTCCACTGAGTAGGGAGCCCGACTTGGGACTCAGTCCCAGGATCCTGGGATGATAACCTGAGGTGAAGGCAGATGCTTAATTGACTGAGCCTCCTAGGTTGCCCTCAGATAAGAGGTATTTATAAACGAGCTAGAAATAGCTGACTTTCCAAACTAGGTTAACATTTCTTGGGCAGGCTGTCAGGTAAGGATGCAGAAGATAGTAGTAAAGTCACTCAAAATTTTATTTTGGGGCCTTCACCCTACCCCTCAGTAGTCATTTAGAATTTTTTAGAAATGAAACTAGTGCACAGACTGTGTTACCAGGGAGTAAACAAGTAGAAAGCAGGTGAGATGTGTCCCAGAAGCCATCAAACTGGCAACTGGCAGATGGGAGGCCTTCTGTTTAGGTCCTGCCCTCTCCTTTTTATCAGTAGTCTGTCAATGACCCTCTAAACCCCATGGTGGCTGCTTTCAAGTCTCTTGTCATGTAGTTGAATAGGCAAGACGTATTTATGAGAAAATTGAGATAACTGGACATACAGCAGAGAGAGAACAAAAAATACTTTTTATAGGGTTTAATCTGAAGTTTCAACCATTGTAAAGTGTACAGACGTCTCCAAACTAGAAAACTAACCTAGAACATTCCTCAATGAAATGTTCCCATTTCTAACTTTTTTTGGCAAATCAGTGTGCTCCACCTCTATAAAGAGGTGATTTAGTGATGCTTTTAATAAAAGAAGCATAATTTTTCTACAATGTAAAGATCACATTTGTAATCTAGAACTTTAGGGAACTGATTAGAAATCATTTGAGATTCCTTTTTTCCCCCTTCTAACTATAGCATATAACATGTGTGTTTCGTATAATAACATTGCAAAATTATATCTAAAGATCTATTTATCATGGGATTCTCTTTTTGTCCAGGACTGTCACTCAGTTATGCAGCAAAAGGGGTTTTCAGAATTTACTGAGAACTTCCCAGTGATTTGATACCTTTTTCTGTTCTTCACCACAATCTAGTTTACTAGTATTTTATCTAATTTATACCATTTACTTAATATCTAGGTTTAATGTCATTTTATACCCCAGTGGTCAAATTGCCAGCCTGTTTTATTTTGTGGAAGGAACAGGGAATATTATTCTAAATGCTATGTTTCTTCTCTATAAAATAGGGGTTGAGATAGATGGGGTTGAAGTTGTCTGCGTGTTGCGGTGAAAAGGTGTGCTTCTTCTTGAATTTCAGAGCCCAGGACAAGGCAGCGATGCAGCTGAGTGAGCTGGAAGAGGAAATGGATCAGAGGATTCAGGCAGTAGAACACAAGACGCGGAAAGACGTGAGTGTGTGGGATTGGCCTGTTCATTCCACGAATCCTGGTGCAGGCAGTGGGCACTTTGTAGGTGCAGCAAGTCTATAGGCTCCCAGGGACTCTTAACGAGGGCCTTTTTTTTTAAAGATTTTTTTTTATTCATGTATTTGAGAGAGAATACAAGTGGTGGGAGGAGCAGAGGCACAGGGAGAAGCAGACTCCCTGCTGAGCAGGGAGCCCGAGGTGGGGCCCGATCCCAGGACCCTGGGATCTTGACCTGAGCCGAAGGCAGACGCTCAACCGACTGAGCCACCCAGGTGGCCCTCAGTGAGGGCATTTTTGGTGGTGGTGGTTTGGGGGAGAGTAAGGAGAGAGGGAGCAGATAATTTCAGTAGTGAGTGCAGTGAAGACCAAGTGTGGTAGTCGGCGATGGGAAGATGAGGTCAGGAGGTCAGGGACCCCTTTGTGGAGGTGACATGAGCGCTGTGGTCAGACGGCAGAGCCCCCCCTTCAATGGAGGGATGGTGGTGTGGTTTTATTCCACGATGTCACTGACCACATCCTCTGCCAACTTGAAATCTAGATTGCAGGGAAACTAAAATCCTCTCTGCAGACTTCATAATGGAATGTACTCTTATTCATCACTGAAGGAACTCTTATGGTTGGAAGTTACTACCTTCAGTAATTTCTGTAGAAGCAATACTTGTGTTTTTTCCTTCTCAAGTCTAGTTGAGTGATTAATGTTTATTGGAAGGAGAAAATAGACCTATCTTTAAGGCTACTATTCAATTGGACTTTTTCTGTTCATTTGCCCCATTACCTCTGAGTGGCCACAGGTAGTGGCATCTGATCGGCCTTCATGTGCTTCCCGGCTCTGCCTTTGCCTGGGCTGGGTGGCCCTGGAAAAATAACTTGACCTCTGACACTGGTGGTATCATTTTTAGGATGGGGTAGTGCCACCAACCTGCTTGACGGAGGTTCGGCCTGTGATCTGGATGGGTGCTCCATGCCTGAGAGGTGCTGGAAGCATCATGGCTGTAGCCGGTCTGTTCTTCTCTGTTGCTCTTTGTAACTCTGTGTCCTTTCAGAGTCTGCCTAAAACAGCTTCATCACATGTATGATTTCAGGTGTTTTTGTTGTCTCATCTCTTAATGACAAGGTTAATAACTGTTGGGATGTCACATTTAACAGAGTGAACGGCTCAGAGTCCATGGGCCAGCTTTAGTGTGGTAGAGATCCCATTCTTCTGCTAGCACTTCATCTGTTGGGAGTCTAGAAACAGGAAAATCATATTTTTTCCTGCCTTTTTTTCCTCTCCATCCATCTAATCTGTGTGCTCGTTCATTCATCCAACACTTACCAAGCGCATGTGCTGTTGTGCCATCAATCTCACTGCCTCCTCCAGCTACGTACTTAACAAACAAGTCTGTTGTTAGTGTTGGAGCCCTTACCATGGCTCCCACTCCTTGTAATGTTGTGTTGGGTCCACTGTAACGTCAGCCTCAGCTCAGCCCCTGTGATTCTTCACTGCACAGCTCTGGTCTGGCGTGATCATTGCTCTTCCTTCACTCCAGCAATTCCCTTTGCCCGTCCTTTCCATCTTCCTGAACTCAGCAAAGCTTAGAGAAAGTCTCCACTTCTCTTTGATGCTGTCTCCCAGTCCTCTGGCCATATTCACCTCTTCCTGACCTTGACTCCTATTGTACGTACAGTGTTATTACATTGTCCTGGCTCAGTATTTTATCTTGTAATGGCTTTTTAAAGTAAAATTGACATGCAAGAAGCTGCACAAATTTGTAGTATAGAGTATGATAACACTGGGTATACCTGTACGGTGTGAAACCATCACCACAGTCAAGATAATGGATATACCTGTCCACCATGGAAGTGTTCTCATGCTCCTTTGTCCTGTCTCCCTTCCTCCCTTCTCTCCCCTCCTTGCCAGGCAACCATGGTGCATTTTCTTTGGTAAAATATCTGTTAAAATCTTTTACTCGCTTTAAAAATTAAGTGATGTTCTTGTTACAGAGGGATTTTTTTCTTTTTCTTTTTTAAATACAGTTTTTTTTTTAAAGAGTTGTATTTATTCATGAGAGAGGCAGAGACATAGGCAGAGGGAGAAGCAGACTCCCTGAAAGGAGCCTGATGTGGGACTCAATCCTGGACCCCAGGATCACACCCTGAGCCAAAGGCAGACACACTCAATCACTGAACCACCCAGGGGTCCACAGTTCTCTTTTTTTCAAGGCGGGGGTAGAGGGAGAGAGAATCACAAGCAAACTCCGCTCAGAGCCTGATGTGGGGCTTGATCCCAGGGCCCTGAGATCATCACCTGAGCTGAAACCAAGAGTTGGATGCTTAACTAGCTGTACCACCCAGGTGTCCTTGCTGTGGAATTTTGAGAACGCTTTATATATTCTGATTTTAAAATTCTCTCCCTGCTGTGACTTGTCTTTTCATTCTCCTAACAGTATATTTTGAAGAGTAGAAATTTTTCATTTTGATGAAATCCAATTTGTCGGTTTTTCTTTAATGGATCATGGCGTCTAAGAAATCTTTACCTAACCCAAGGTCACAAAGATGTTCTGCTGTTTTCTTCTGTAAGTTTTATTAGTTTTAGGTTTTACATTTGGGATCCATTTTGCATGGTATGGATCAAAGTTCATATTTTTTTGCAGGTGGGTATTCCAGCACTGTTTGTTGAAAAGGCCATTTGTTCTCCATTGAATTGCCTTTGTACTTTGTCCCAGATTGGTTTACTGTATTTGTGTGGATTTATTTCTGGGCTCTCTGGTTCCATTGATTGCTTTATGCCAGTATCACATTGTTTTGGTGACTGTTGCTTTATAGTAAGTCTTGAAATCAAGTAATATTATTTCTTCAACTTTGGTCTTTTTCAGAGTTGTTTTGGCTATTTTAGATCCTTTAATTTCTGTAGAATCAGCTTGTCAACTTCTTAAAAAAAAAGGGAAAAAACCTGCTGTGGGTTTGATTTGGTTTCATTGCCCTTATAGACCAATTTGGGGAGAATTGGCATCTTAACAATAATGAATAATTTTTGATCCATACACTGATGCATTCTCCATTTCACTTAGCAATGTTTTGTGGTATTCAATATACAGATCTTATAAATCTTTCCTCAGATTCATTCCTAGGTATTTGATACTTTAATGCTACTCTAAACAGTGTTGTTAAAAATCAATTTTTTTAAAGATTTTATTTATTTGATAGAAAGCACAAGGAGGGAGAATGGGAGAGAGAGTAGCTGACTCCCCACTGAGCAGGGAGCTCCACGCTGGACACTGGGATCATGACCTGACCCAAAGGCACCCTCAATCAGCTGAGGCACCCAGGCACCCTAGAAATTTCAATTTCTGATTACTCATTGTGACTATATAGAAATACAGTTGATTTTACATATAGATCTTATACCCTATCATATTTGTTTACATTGTTCACACTCAGTAACTTTTTTGATAGATTCCATCAGATTTTCTACATAGATGGTTAGGTAGTCTATGGATAAAGGCAGCTTTACTTCTCACTGATGTGAATGATCACTTTATTTTTCTCTCCTTATTGCACTGATTAGAAGAAGAAAAGTAATAACAGACATCCTTGTCTATTATCACTCTCTCAATACAAAGTATGATGTTGGTGGCATATTGTTCATGGATGCCCTATATTGAATTGAGCATGTTCCTGGATGGCTGACAGTTGTCGTTCTAATTAGGAATGGAATGTTGGATTTCATCAATGCTTTTTCATACCTATTGAAATGTTCATGGTTTTTCTCTTTTTTAGAATATCAATGTGGTGAATTACACTGTTTTTCAAGTATTAAAACACACTTGCACTCTGGGGACAAACCTCAGTTATGTATTTTCATTTTTATATCTTGTTGAATTCATTTTGCTAAATTTTATTTTTGCATCCATGCTCATAAAAGATTGGTTTGTAGTTTTCTTTTAATGTGTTTGATTTTTGTATCAGGCTAATACTATTCACATCATAGAATGAGTTGTGAAGGATTCCCTCCCTTAGTTTTCAGGAAGTTTGTGATGAATTGGTCTGAGCCACCACCATTTCTACCTAGATTACTGTAAAGATCCCCTATCTGATCTCTGGGCATCTGCCTGTGACAGGTTGGGAATGGAAAGAACTTCATAGTGATAATTTCCTTTATTGAACTCTGAATAAAATATTTTTAAACCATAAAAGTTGTTATGTTAGGGTTATGGCCTTGGATTTAGTGTGAAGACTTGCCTAGTTACATATAGGTACATTTCCATGCCAGGAAAGCTGTGCAAGGGAGTGCCTCATTGGGAGGCTCATGTCTTTATCCACCTGTGAAGTGGCAACACTTGCTGGGCTCACCTGTAAAGCTGGATAAAGTCAAGAGACTCACTTAAAAAAAGGTTACCGTGAGTGAAGATGTTGCCCTTCTCTTACACATTTTCTCCAAAGCATAGAATATCTAATTTACATGGATTATTAATTTAATTGGATAATTCAATATAATCCTTGCATTAATCCAATAGGGAAACGGAGGCTGCAAGTAAGTTGTCTCAACTAGATAGCCAGTAGGTGGGTAGCAAGACTAAGTCAGGCAGGTGTTCAGACATGGGGTCATGTCTCCCCTGCAGAGGGGCCTTCCCTTACCACCCTGACTCACCTCCTGTCACATCTCACTGTTAGTTTCTCTTCGGCATTGCTTCCTGAGATCATCTTTGCTTCGTCCCCTCCCCAACCAGGATGTGCGTCTGCCTGCATTGCTCCTGCTCTGTCTCCCTGTGCATATAGGAGGCCATCAGTGGACATTCATACACTCAACTTCACTGGTTATTAACATAAAACTTTATTTGGATACTAAACGTAGGGAATAAAGTTCCATACTTTGTTAAGAGAAAAAGGAAATTTGAAGATGTGTGGGCTCTTGGGAACTTTAGCCTCAGACCTCCTGGGGTGCCCCCTTGCCTTTCTCTGATCCAGGCAGGAAGCAGTTGAGAAGTACTAGCCCATGCGGAAGCACTTAGCATAGACATTTGCAAGTGATGTGATTTGAATTCAGGTCAGGTGTAAGCTTTTGGAAGAAGGACAAACCCACCAGACCTTCCTGGACCCTGATGAGATGATAGGGTTCAAGGAAGCACTTGGACCTTTGGCTGTTGCCATATCTTTTAATTAATAATAGTGATAATTAATTAAACTAGTTAATTGATGTGCTATGGCTTTCTGTCATACATGAGTAATAGTCTTAGAGGTGTCTCTCCAGGTGATGTGTGGATGTAGGCTTTCAGTTCTTCAGGTTTCAATTCCAAAAGAGCCATACCTCCAGAATCATTTGGTTTACTTCTGCCATCCATTCTTGCCTTCCCTATGTGGGAGACTTTGGGTCAGCCTTAGTTTGACACAAAACATTTCTCATTCTGTGGAATTTTAAGAATCTATTTAAATCAGGGATCCCTGGGTGGCGCAGCGGTTTGGCGCCTGCCTTTGGCCCAGGGCGCGATCCTGGAGACTCGGGATCGAATCCCACGTCGGGCTCCCGGTGCATGGAGCCTGCTTCTCCCTCTGCCTGTGTCTCTGCCTCTCTCTCTCTCTCTGTATGACTATCGTAAATAAATAAAAAAAAAAATTTAAAAAAAAAAAAAAAAAAAAAAAAAAAAAAGAATCTATTTAAATCAATAAAATCTTCTTCTTCTTCTTCTTTTTTTTTTTTAGGAAAAACGTAAAGCTGAGGAAGCCCTCAGTGACCTCAGACGTCAGTATGAAACAGAAGTAGGGGATCTACAGGTGACAATAAAGAAACTCAGAAAGGTAGGTTTGTGGCAGCTAGGCTTCTAGGAATAGCCTTAGTATATCAGTGTGTTTAAGTTTTTAGTGGCCAAAAACAGTTGGAATCATATTAAAGCAGCAGTTAGAATCAGATTTCAGAGTCAAACTGGGCTCCCTAGAAAGACACTTTTATTTTTTGAGTCACTTTTTCAAAAGTCTCTGATTTTCTTTTCTGTTTCCAAGGGCAGCATATCTTCTGCACAGATCTAATAAATATTTCTGACCCCTTGAATAATATCCATCAAACCCCAGTTTTCCTTCCTCAGATGCCCTCAATTCCCACATGTTCAGTGGACTCTGCTCATGACAGAAGGGATACTGTCTTTGCTGATCCCACATCCCTGTATTCCTGTATCCCAACCCCCAGCTGACTGCAAGGTATATGGTCAGTATTGAGTGAGTATTTATTAAATGAAGTAAATATTCTTCTTCTATGTAGAAAGTTCCAGATCTAGGGGACCCCTGATCAACAGGAGGTAGAACTTGTTGAAATGTGAGCAAAGGTGTGATTGGGTTTGGCCTTTGCTATGTTTGGTTTCTAATGAGGAGGGCGTGTTTCACCCAGTGGTGTGCTGGTAGCTACTTAACAACTGGCTCTGTAGGGGGAAGAGGGTCAGGGAGGAATCTGTAATATTTTCTGATTTCCATGGTATAAATACTCCCACCATTAACAATTTCAGGCTACCAAATTGACATCACTGAGTGCAGAGTTTGGAAAGAGGTGTGTAAAATCAGCTCTCACCTGCCAGCATAGATTGTCTGTAGCATGGTACTAGGTCCACCTCTTGCGTGTGGATTGTTTCTGTAACTAGTGGAAGTGTCTTGGCTAAAATGAAAATGGCTACTTAAAAAAGAATCATCCCTGAAAGTGGCATTGTGAATTTGGGCACAACACTTTGCTTCTCTGGTTGTTCCTATGATAACCTCTAATGCTCTCTCCAGTGTTTATAGTCAATGAGATTAAGTGACGGTTAGCTGCATTTTGTAGGCTATTGCAATTCAAATCTCTGGAATTATTAAAAATTCTCCCCAATAGCCTTTTTGGGAAATTATGATCAGTATCAACCTTTTCTCTAGTCTCCAAGGTCATTAGACCATACATAAGAATTCGAATGGTCTAATGACCATTTGAAAGGACCAGTCCTTTGTTTATGCTAGAGTCACAGATTCTCCTAGCCCTGGTCCTCCGTTATTTTCATGTCTTCCAAAATCTTTAGGCCAAAAGAAAGTTATGTAGGAAAGACACAAAATTTCTTGCCATGTTATGGCATAGATGAGGACCAAATAGTCCGTGAACAGTAAGAGTCAGAAGTGATGGGACCAGAGTCTTTATCAAGGCTCTGCCTGCCACTTTCTGCCTGTTAAAACAGTTGGCGTCATTATCATTTCATTTCTCATTTGTAAAATGGGATTAATAATTGACTGTCCTGTCTAACCATAATAACTGACACATTATTGACTTAAAGTTTATTAAGCTCTTTTTCATAGTTCATAAATTTAATTCTCAAACTTTCTCTGAGGATAGGTAAATATCCTACTTTCACAGATGAGGATACTAAGTTCCAGAGCAGTTAGTTAAATAACTTGTTCAGACTCACAGAGCTAATAAGCATTGGAGTTGTCTTGCTACAGTTTGTGCTTTCTTGCTTGTACCAGACTTCCCACCTGCTCCGGAGGTTTGTTCTGCAAGAGAAAAATGATGATGTTTGTGAGGGAATGTAGCTTAGCCTATGGAAAAGTTTACAGGTTGATTATGATTGCCTTTACCTTATGCCATTGATTCTGAGGAACTAGGTTTTTTTACTCCTACTTTTTCTTCTCTGAAATTGTCATGCATCTGAAAAAATCAGGGGATTTTCTCAGTTATGATCAGCCATGTAGCATTGTTGTGTGAAAGCCTATCGTTGATACATCTGGTAAGATGAAGAAAGTCCAGCATCAGGTTACTTAGACTTTGACTTAGACCTGATGAAATATAGCATTCATTTTGATCAGTGCCTAACTATTCAGTTAATGGAAACCCACAGACCCCACAATTCCCAGGGACTATTAGCTATTTGTAGGAAAGACATTTTTGTTGTCCATGTTAGAGATGCTCCTAAGCCAGTTTAGTCTGGCTTAACAAGTCAAGCGGAAAGCAAAGTTGATGTATATATTCATATAATTTTGTGTGCGTATGTCACTAGCTTCCTATCATACTTAAATTTTATTGATACCAGGTATTTTAATAAGCATTTACAGAAATTACTGTGAAGAAAACAGGCGAATCTGATGCTAACCCTACTGTTAAAAACCTTGGACTCTGGTAAGGGAACTAAGGCATTCATAAATAATTATAATACAGGATAGAGTGTTAAGTGCAGATAAATTTCTAGGAGAATATAAAGGTCTAGATTCATATGCACATAACTGAAAAGGCAAAGGTAAATCACTTTATAGGTGAAGGGTTTCCCAAAAGGCCTTTTTTGTTGTTTTCAAGGAAATTCATTCAGTGATAAAAGTCCCTTTTTTAAATGTTTAAATATTTAAAAGCAAATTTTCAAATCCTCATGGATTATGTATAGTTTAATGATTTACAAAGTTGCATGATGTTAAAAATCGAAGACTTTTAGAATTCCCATATCTTTATTCAAGGATCTTCAGCAACTTAACTGAATCAATTCAAAGTAAGTTTGTTAAATGCATACTTTTATTTGTTCTTTCAGCTAGAAGAACAGTCGAAACACATCAGTCAAAAAGAAGATGTGGCTGCATTAAAGAAGCAAATTTATGATTTATCAATGGTAAGAATCACCTTTCACTTTCAAAGTACATTTCCTCTTGGACGACTGTTTCCTAGACATAATCATGCTGTTTATCGATGTTCCATGGATGGAAGAGTAAAGAGGAATCAATACTTCACTTAGAGAGAGCCTTTGATATACCTTTGAGGAAAGGTGTTATTCAGGCTTTTACCCTCAGTGATACGCCATCTATTGTGAATACTTTTATTTATTTTTGGTTCAAAGCACTAATGGCATGGCCCTTGCACATCACGTCGTTAACCCTGCTGTGGTCTGTATCCCTGGCTTTGTAAACTGAGGGTATGACTGCCCTTCTCTTCCTCCAGCGCTCCTCTTTCTGTTCCTTTCCTATCATTTGCTGACCCTGTGTCTGGGCTTTCTGCTGCCAAGCTGACAACATTTGCATCTGTTTTGTCATCATCATCAAGTTGTCTTTATTTTGTTTTTAGGTGGCCTCTCAAAGTTGAAAGCCAGTAGTGAACATTTCCTTAATTCAGACTCTGCATATTCTCATTGCAGAGCCCAGAAGTGAGCTAGCTGTGCTAGAAGTGCATTTTTTTCTCTCTAGTCATTAGTCCCGTACCACTTGGAAGAGAAGACTCCCATCAAGTTGGAATGTGCCAATCAGTTCCAGATTTTGCCACATTGGCTTTGTATTTGGATCGTGACTTTCTTGTAGAATTGCTTGTTTTTCTTGCATTTCCTGGTTGAGTTTGTGGTTTCTTGGTACAGAGAAACTCTGACATCTTCATGACATCATCCATCAATGCCTTCCAGCTTTTTATTTATTCTTCTCAATGCATGGAATTTGTCTTTTTCTCCTTGAAAATACTAACTTTGGAGTCTGCAAAATTTCAGTTCTTATTGGACTGATTGTTTTTTAAACCTCCTACCCATATATCATTCTGGAATTTCTGAGCATTTTAAGTAGCTGGTGTAGGATTCCTGTGCAGCTAAGTAAATAGATCTGTTTACCTCAGGGCCTCTTTCCTGAGAGAGTGTCTTCCTTGGAGCTGTATGTGTGAGGCTGGCTGTCAGACTGGGGGACCTTTGAATGAGTGGGGTATGGATATTTAGAGAGAGGCTTCAGTGTACCATATGCGGATCATTCAGTTCTTTTTATTTTTTTTAAGATTTTATTTATTTGAGGGAGAGAGAAAAAGTGAGTGAGTGCAAATGGGGGCAGAGAGAGAGAGGCAGAGAATCTGAAGTGGATTCCAAGCTGAGCATGGAGCCTGACTTGGGGCTTGATCTCATGAACCTGAGATCACAACTTGAGCCGAGACCAAGAGTCAGATGCTCAACTTGACTGTACCACCATGCGCCCAGTTCAGTTCTTTTTAAAAAGACAAGCCATGTCTTACTGCCTTAGAAACCAACTCTATCTGCTATTCTTTGCTAGTGTAAGAGAGATTGGCCTGGGGGCAAAGAGAAGCTGTGCCTTAGTATGTGATCTTAATTTCTGTTTTTAGCTTCATTTCTGACTGTTCGGGGTTCTGCCTGGCTAATTGTCTCCTCCTCTGCTCTGTAGCACAACCTTCTACACGCCTCTCCCAGACCTCCTGTTCTCCAGCTCTCTTCCCTTTGTCAGCACATTCCCATCCACTTTCCATCTTCCAGAAATGTATTTAACGCATGTGACAGTTGGGGGGGGGGGCCTCCTCCATTCTTGTAACTTGTACTGATATATTTCATGTTATTTGGCATTTCATGTGAATGGGGTCTCCAAAGGGAAAGAAGAGTGCTCAGCCCATCATGTTGCACCAGAAGCCTCCGATGTTTGTTTGTTTATTTTAGAAAAACAGACATTTTTTAAACCACACTAGTTTATTTCTTTTTAAAGATTTTATTTATTTGTTCATGAGAGACAGAGAGAGAGGCAGAGACCTAGGCAGGGGGCGAAGCAGGTTCCATACAGGGAGCCCAATGTGAGACTTGATCCAGGGACTCCGGGATCACGCCCTGAACAAAGGCAGATGCTCAACCACTGAGCTACCCAGGCATCCCCACAGTAGTTTATTTTTATGTGCAGAACTTACAAATGTGGGCAGCCAGGGTGGCTTAGCAGTTTAGTGCCACCTTCAGCCCAGGGCATGATCCTGAAGACCCGGGATCGAGTCCCACATTGGGCTTCCTGCAAGGAGCCTGCTTCTCCCTCTGCTTGTGTCTCTGCCTCTCTCTCTCTCTCTCTCATGAATAAATAAAACCTTTAAAAAAAAAACTTACAAATGTTAGGTGATAGGATTTTTTGTAAAAACTAGCCAGTCTGCCTGGTACTATTAATTCCACAAAATGTTTACCAGATTTATAGCTCTCATTGAGCAAAACAGATGTTTACAGGTTTGATCTGAGATAATTTGCCAGTTAACATGTTAAAGTACGTCATGATCATGTCTTGACTATTGTTGTTTGGCATCAAATATCAAGCATTAAAAAAAAAGAAGAACCTCAAGGTTTTAGCTTTTTGAGACCTTAATACTTTATAATAATTTCAAATCACCTTGAATTGATAATTACCTCTTTGAACACCAAGATTTGAAGAACTGTGGAGGGGTTGGGGTGTTAAGGTTCCACTGCACTTGACTCCTCCCAGGTGGAAGACACTGAAACTAATGGCCTGTGCTGTTCCTTTTCTCCAGGAAAATCAGAAAGTTAAGAAAGATCTTTTAGAAGCACAGACAAGCATAGCCTTTCTTCAGAGTGAATTAGATGCTTTGAAAAGTGATTACGCCGATCAGAGTCTGAATTCAGAAAGGTATGAAATTTCACATTTTATTTTTTAGTTTGAATGAAATGTTTGTTTACATTGCCATCCATGTAGAAGTCACATAATCTTAAAAAATTTTTTATTGACTTTGCTAGTATATTCTTTGCTTCCAAAGATTTTGCTTTCAGTGTTCTGTTTCCCTGGTGACTTTTGTGTTTAAATTTTTTTTAACAAACAAATTAGTTTAATTATTTACTTCTTAGGACAGTACAGGGCTTAATTATGTTTATTGTTGGGAACAGAAGAATATAACTAAAGTGTTGAGAGTCAGTGCTAATTGAAGTGTCTTGAAGGTAAGAATCCTGGCCCTCCAACATACGAAAAGGGAAAAGGTGGGCATCTTAGCAAGTCATTTCTTTTGATATACTTTTATTTTAGAGTATGGTGTTAATAACACAAAACCTAACACACATACGCATACACGGGCATGCATTTATGTATATATATGGATGCATTTATGTGTGTATATTTATATAGGTATTAGCATTCACATATTTGCATATAAATGCATATATGGATATACATGCATATAAAATACATACATATACGTGTGTGTGTATAAACATGTACACTTGGGGAAAATATGCTTTTTTGTTTTCTTTGCTTGCAAATTTTAATCTCAGTTAAGGTCATGTAATGGTCAGCAGTGAAACATTTACTGTATACAGGCTCCTGAGCTATAGAAGGAGTTATGAGTGTATAATATATATAAAAAAAAAAGCAAAGATGTGGTTTGTGCTGCATGAGAACTTCAGACATCTTTGGGAAAGACACAAAGCTGAAAGGTTGCAGAGTTAGCGTAGGAGCTCAGCAGCGCCCAAAACAATCTGAGCAGCAGTATCGTTACAGGTTGGGCCCATTGCCATGTGATGGTAGATAAAGTGTACTTTTTATTCAGAAGAGGCAAAGGACTTTATTAAAGAGGAGATACTTGAGGTCAGCTTGGGAGGAGCTGGTTTGTATTGGTCTCAGGGATCAGGGGCAGCGTTGGTGAAGTAACACAGGTAGCACTGCTGTCTGCCAGGCACTGTGCTTAGTACTTTACCAGCATTTACTCTTTCAATCCGTAGGATACCCTATGAGGTAGAGACTTAGTATCCCCATTTCAGATGGGAAAGGGAGTCTCAGAGATGTTCCAAGTGAGGCAGTAAGCAAGGCAGAGGCCAGAACCAAAGGACAGATATGACTGGTTTGAGAAGCCGTGGTCAGACATCTGGATAGAAAAAGATATTTGAAAGTAAAAGTTAAATTAAAAATTTTGAAAGCCAGTTTAAGACTATAATATTAGTGCCTAGCATTTTTGGCTGACATACTTAAATTTCTGTTGTAAATTGGGAAACTTTCAGCTTTATCATCAAAAAAGTGAGAAGAAAGGTTATTGTGGACAATAGTTAGAGGAGAGCCTGAGAGTCTTTGGTAGCTTAGTGATGGGGTTTGTCTGCTTAGAAATGGAGCTGAGGCAAACTAGGGGCTGTTGGTGAGTGGCTAATGTTCTAGACATTATGGGGCAGAGGCCAGGGCTTTGTAAAAAAAAAACAAAACAAAACAAAAAAACCCTCAGGAATCTCTGAGTATGGGTTTATAGCAGACGGTCCTATGGACTCCTCTGTGGTTGGGATGAGGAGGGTTGAGCCAGGTGGGGAGAGGAGAAGAAATCAGAAAGGAGAAAAATAGGTGGGTGGGGACTGCATAAGGCGGGGAGTGAACAGGGAAGGGTCAGAGGTGAGAGAGCAAGCTGGATTGAAGGCCAGGGGAGAGGATAATGAGTATGTGGGGAGAGGGGACTCAGCAGAAGGTGAAGGCTCATGATGTTCCGTGAGGAGCAGAGCTGGGTTTAGGAGGCAGAGCAGGACCTTGCACGGGAAGCACAGGGGGTGCTTGTGGGCGTGCGGGGCTGCCTTCTGCACAGAGGAACTGAGCAGGAGCCCAAGGAGGTAGAAACCCTGGCCAAGGACACACACATCTTTGAGAAAGGTGAAAGGGGGTCTCGGAGGACAGGTACATGTAAGGCAGGACTGAGTACCTAATTCTTGCTCAAACATAAAATATGGTTTTACAGGGATCTGGAAATAATCCGAGAGTACACAGAAGATCGAAATAGTCTTGAGAGGCAAATTGAAATACTCCAGTAAGTTCCCATATAAAACGCTCATTACATTTATACTTTCCTAATGTTCCTTAATAAGACATGTGCCACGTATCGCACCAGTTGCTCTATCCTCAAGACTGGGTTTGCAGGTCCTTGCGTGTTTGCTGTGACTGTGGTACATTTAGCACATCCATTTGGCTTTTTCGTGCTTTTAATCCTAAGTAAACTAGTCAAATCCAGGGACTAGACTAGAATTCTCTAAAAGTTCTCACAAGTCAGGTGATATGTTATTATACCTCTGTAGAGACCAAGGGCTCTGACCTCAGTGGCTTTCTCTGCAGCTCAGCACACTGAGGCCGTCAGGAATCTCCAGTTAGTGCACGTCATGGCCCCAGACACACATGATCATTCTTGCCCAATGTATTGTTCTTGGTGAGAATGATGTTTTTCTTAAATTTTTTTTAAACCCTACTGGAAATATTATACCTGCTCTGTCAGCTTCACACCTGAGTTACCATAATTCCAGCCTCTGAGCACCTTCTCCACGAAACCTCCCCCGCCTCTGCCCATGTTCTTTTCTTCCCGTGTATTTTCTTCTGGTTTGTCTTCCCAAATGAAGTAAGGTCAGGCCTGGCAAGTTATTTTTCAGCATTTCAAAAGCTCATTAAGTCTCACTGGTGGCAGTTAGAGAGTTGACTATTACAATAATTCTGTTCATTCATTCTTTCAGCAGATTTTCATTCAGCACCTTTTATGGGGCAGGTATGCCAGGAGCTGAGGATAGAGTGGCAAGTAAAAAGGAAAGAAAAAAAAAGTCTCTCTCTTTATGGGGCTCATCTAGGGGAAGAAGATGGAGACTGATCTATAATTGTAGAAATAAACATAAAATGCCAAAGGAGAAGTAGGACAAAAGGAAGGGGTGTGCCTGCTGGGGACATAGAGTACAGAGCTTCCTCCTAACTGGAAAGGTCCAGGAAGTGTTCTGGCAGATGCGGCAGTTGAGCTGAGATCTGAAGATTAGCCTTAAGTAGGGCAACATTGGCCACTCTCAGGCAGAGGCTCTGTTATTCTCATTTTTAAGAAGAGGTTGCTGAGAGAGGTTTTAAGAGAGGCTCTGACTGATAAATGACTCCCATAGATCAGATGGGATGTACACACCTGCCCTGGGATTTTTTTTTAAAGATTTATATTTATTTATTCATGAGAGAGAGGCAGAGACACAGGCAGAGGGATGTGTCAAGACCGTTAAAAGAGAGATGATCCATCAGTTAAATTGTAGTTCTTGTAATAAGTTATGATCTCAGTTTATGAGGTTTGAAGGGGAGTGGTAGAAAGTTGCAAGAGGTGGTAAGTAATTCTGCATTCTGAACTTGCAGCCTGCAAGGAAAGTGGCTTTTACCTCAACTTTCCTTATCTGTTTATTTATTTATTTTATTTGCTCTGTAGAACAGCTAACCGGAAGTTGCATGACAGTAATGATGGCCTTAGGACTGCCCTTGAAAACAGTTACAGCAAGTTCAACAGATCTTTGGTATGCAGTAGAATTTTATAATATGTTTTGTTCTTTCTTGTACTTGAGTATTGTGATGAAGATCCTGTATTTTCTTAAAGGGGAAATTACAGTAATGAGAAACTATTCCATTTAGTAAGAGGAGGCAACATTTTCCCAAATTATATAATATTCTACTCTTCTGCAGAAATAAATGCCTGGATGTTCACCAACTCTCTGTTGGTTGTTCAGGAAAACCAGGGAAAGGTGTATAAGGTGTGACCTGGGTCCTGGAAGAGTTTATAATGCAGTAGAGAGTTAAGATGTGCATGGATAGCAATGATATAAGAAAAAGTGGGAAATCTGTTGGAAGTCGGAAGAATGTATTGTCTGTTTGAGAGGAGGGAGAAGGTGCTTCTTGCAGAGGAGTGCATTTAAACACACTGAGTATTCTTTATAGTTCTGAGATGGTCAGAGTGGAGGCCTTGGATTTGAAACTCTGCTACAGAAAAAATCTAAGCTCCTCTTGGAATTTTGAGCAACTTCCCTGGACTACATATCCCACTTTTGGGGTCAACTTTGAGTTTGGGGTTCCTTTGCTATAGCTTTAAGTATGGACAAGTCAATCACTAATCCAAATTATGGTTTGAGAAGAGAGGAATCCAAAGAAGTTGGTATTGTAGGGTCCTAGCCCTTGTGGGGAACCGGGATGCCCCTTTATGGCTTGTGCAATGGGGTTTCGACCTAAGACACAATGAGAGAGTACTATGGGCAGTTACCTTGTTGTGATTTTTATCTGAGTGCCTGTGCTCACATTTGCTCATGTAGGATACCAAACTTTTAATTTCATTAGAAGTTGAATGTGCTATATATATGTATATGTGTATGCATATTATATATATGAAATAATAAAACCTTGCTTATGTATTTTACATATTACAGCGCATAAATAATATATCACCAGGGAATACAATTTCTAGAAGCAGTCCCAAATTTAATGGTCATTCTCCTCAACCTCTGGGCTATGACAGGTATGGTAACACCTACTTACTTTTTATTTGAATTCTGGATCAAAGTTTGAAGGAAAGTAAATTTCCCTAGAGATGAATAAAACACTAGAATCTACTTTGGACACTAATTTTTATTTTCTGCTATGTTATTTTAAATTTCCAGGGGTGCCTGGGTGGCTCAGTGGTTGAGCGTCTGCCTTTGGCTCAGGTCATGATCCCAGGGTTCTGGGATTGACCCCCATGACTGACTCCCTGCTCACCAGAGAGCCTGCTTCTCCCTCTCCCTCTACTGCTCCTCCTGCTTGTGCTTTCTTGCTCTCTCTCTCTCTCAAATAAATAAGTAAAATCTTTCAAAAAATTAAAAAATACATATTTCTAAAACATGTAAAAATTAAAAGTAAAAAATGTTTCAAAGAGGGCAAAGGATTTCCTTAAGATGTTACCATGACTTGATTTTACATATGCTCCCCTGACCTCATTCCCTCATCACGTCTTGTTCCTTAGAAGTGGGCTAAGTGAGAACTCTTACAGGGAAATTAGCAGAACTATAGTGTAGGACGCTGTTGTATATGCAGGATGTGATGTTGAGAATCTTGGCATGATCTGTAAATGCTTAATAGCTCAGCATAATCTTATGTAAGCTGTGTTCAAGGATGGCAAGGATGGGGAAACTTTCAAAACAAGTAGAAATATGACTAGTAGATGTTTGTGCTACTGTATTAAAGGAGTCAGACTTAGCAGTGAAAATTCAGCTCTATTTTGAATCAAATGAAGTGAAATATTGGTCCTGCTATAACTTGAGATCTAGAAACAAGGACTGAAAGATTACATGTGTGTACTTGTGTATATAAATATAAATGTCCATTGTTACTATTTAAAAAGTTAAATTTGTAGTATATCAAACCTTGAAAGTAGAAGTGAATGTATAAACTGTAGGATTCCAGCTCTCCATTCCCAGTGCAACTTTCTGATACATGTTCATTTCCTTTGCATTTGAGACCTTTTGTTCTAAAGAATAATGTACTGAGAATTAAGGTGACAGAGCAATAGGGGACCCTATGCTTGTTTTGTTCCTCGAACACAGCTAGGTAAATATCAAATTCCAAATACCCAAGAATTGATCTGAATGCCAAGAGAACAAGATACAGAACGAGAGGGTGAAAAGTAGCCACATCATGGAAGGTGGGAGATGCAGAGACATGATTCCAGGGAGAAAAGAATCGTAGTTGCTGCAGAGGGGAGGGACCCTTGATCTCAGAGAGAGGAGAAAGAGAGAGATAAAGATAACAGATAGAAAGCAGCACCTAGGGGATTACACAAGAGGAACACTTCCCTAATACCATGGACTGGGAGGATTAGAATGGCAAGTTTTACAAGCACAGAGCTCAAAGTCTGAAGTTGCCGCCACAGCCAGGAGGAACCTGGTGGGCATAGCAGTGCTCCCGTGGGGAAGAAGGGCAGAGGCCTGGGAGTGGATGGCGTGGTCTGAAGATCCCTTGGGTCATTGGGGGAGAAATGGTTTCCTCTTTCTTGGAATGCGTTTGGGAGGAGAGGCGGCATGGCATCTCAGAAGGAAAAGAGTTGGCGGACACCAACGTGCTGCCCGGTTCACTAACATAGAAACTGAGACACCTGCTGAGGGCAGCAAACCTTGCTGCACTTTACCATAAACTCTAAGTCCCTTGTGATCATGTGACTACTTCTCTGGGACAAATTGGCACTAACTACAGCATGATGAGACCCTCCCCCGGAGGATCAGCGTGGGTCCGCGTAGCACTGGGTTCCTAAAATTTGGAGTTTTGAAATGCACTATACTCTTGAGATAAAACGCAGGAGTACTGGGCTGCTTGGCAGGCAGACAGTGTGGACACTGACAGGGTGAAGGCAGGGATCCGATGGAAGCCAGAGACACAAAAGGGGAGAATGTTTGCTCTTCTATGAGGGCTTTCTGACAATCGGCAGGTGCAAACTTCCTGCTGCCAGGACAGGAGAGTAGGGCAATGCCATCCCCTTCGCCCCTGACAGACTTCAGTGAGCAACACAGCGCCCCCAGTGGAAGCTGGAGTTACCACACCCCTGCACCTGCGGGTGCATTTTTACTAGGGCAAGTCAGCCTGAGAACCAGTGCAGCAGGCCCCTCCCACAGAAGACCAGCACAAACCCCTTGCATGCATCAAGTCTACTGATTGTAGAGTGCTACAAAGCTTCAGCTCCAGTGGAAATAAGATCAGGCTTATTTTGCCAAGCAGACCGAAGCACACCTAATTAAAACACCACATACTGGACAAGGTCCAAGCACTCCTCAGTGCAGGCAAGGAGAAACTCTGCAGAGGACTGACCTGAGGGAAAGAGCAGCCAAAACATGACAGCAGAGTACACTCTCTGAAACACTTCCTGAAGCGCCAGGCCCTGGACAGTACAGGGCCTCTTAAAATGGCAGGAGATAAAACAGGTTTCCTTAACACACACACACACAGAAGCAGTGACCTAGACAAAAATGACAAGATGGAGGAATACACCCCAAAAGAAAGAACCAAAAGAAGTCACAATCAGGGAGCTAATCAAAACAGCTATAAGTAATATGCCTGAACCAGAATTTAAAACAACAATCGCAAGGATATTAGCTGGGCTTGAGAAAAACATAGGAGACACTAGAGAACCCCTACTGCAGAGAAAAAAGAACTAAAAAACTAGTCAGGCCAAAATAAAAAGATGTTATAGCCAAGAGACAAGACCAACTGGTTGTAATGACAACAAAGATGGATGAAGAAGAGGAACAAATCAGTGATATAGAAGATAAAATTATGAAGGTGCCTCTTGGTTTCAGCTCAGACTGTGAGATCAAACCATGCATTGAGCTCCTCACAGAGTATGTAGTCTGCTTGAGATTCTCTCTTCCTCTGCCCCCCTTTTCTCTCTCTCTCCCTCTCTTAAATAAATAAAATCTTTAAAAGAAAAAGAAAACCAAAGCTGGGGGCATCACAATGCCTGACTTCAAGCTGTATTACAAAGCTGTGATCATCAAGACAGTGTGGTACTGGCACAAAAACAGACACATAGATCAATGGAACAGAGTAGATAATCCAGAAATGGACTCATTACTATATGGTTAACTAATCTTCAACAAAACAGGAAAGGATATCCAATGGAAAAAAAAGATAATCTCTTCAAAAATGGTGCTGGGAAAACTCAACAGCCACATTCAGAAGAATGAAACTGGACCACTTCCTTACACCATACACAAAAATAAATTAAAAGTAGATTAAAGACCTAAATGTGAGACAGGAAATCACCAAAATCCTAGAAGAGAACATAGGCGGCAACATCTTTGATCTCAGCCACAGCAGGTTTTAAGTAGACACATCTCTGGAGGCAAGGGAAACAAAAGCAATAATGAACTATTAGATTTCGTCAAGAGAGAAAGCTTCTGCACAATGAAGGAAACAAAAAAATTAAAAGACAACTTTTGGAATGGGAGAAGATATTTGCAAATAACGTATTTGATAAGGGGTTAGTATCCAAAATATATAAAGAACTTATCGAACTCAACATCCAAAAAATGGACAATCCAGTTAAGAAATCGGCAGAAGTCATGAATAGACATTTTTCAAAAGAAGACATCTAAATGGCTCACATACACATGAAAAGATGATCAGCATCACTCATCATCAGGGAAATACAAATCAAAACGACGTTGAGATACTACCTCACATCTGTCAGAATGGCTAAAATTAACAACACAGGAAATGAGATGTGGGCAAGGATGTAGAGAAAGGAGAACCTTATTACACTATTGGTGGGAATACAAGTTGGTACAGTCACTGTGGAAAACAGTACGTAGGTTCCTCAAAAGGTTAAAAATAGAACTACTCTGTGAACCCAGCAATTGCACTACTATTTACCCAAAGGATACAAAGATACTGATTTGAAGTATCAGTACATCCTCTCCAGTCTTTATAGCAGCACTATCAACAATTAACCAAATTTTGGAAAGAGCCCATATGTCCATCTACTGATGAATGGAAATGAAGAGGTGGTATGTGTGTATATATATATATATATATATATATACACACACACACACACACACACAATGGACTATTAGCCATAAAAGAGAATGAAATCTTGCCATTTACAATGACATGGGTGGCGCTAGAGTTACTATGTTAAGTGAAGTAAGTCAGAAAAATACCATATGGTTTTACTCCTATGTAGAATTTAAGAAATAAAACAGAGAACAAAGAGAGAAAAACAAAAGAGAGAGGGAAGCAAACCATAAAAGACTCTTAACTATAGAGAACAAACTGAGGTTTGATGGAGGGAGGGTGGGGGATGGGCTAAATGGATAATGGGTATTTAAGGACACTTGTTATAATGAGCACTGGGTGTTTCATGTAAGTCATGAATCACTAAATTCTACTTCTGCAACCAGTTTTACTATATATGTTAACTAAAATTTAAATAAAAACTTGAAATAACAAAAAATAAAGAATGTACTTAATCACCCTGGCAATCACAAAATGCTCAGGTCCCCTTTCAGGAAGGTCTATTACCAGGGCTTATTGGTGATCACTTTTAGGAAAATTCTATCCAGGTATCAGATGTCTTTATTGCTCACTGATTTGTGAAATAATAGATGCTAATGGTTTATATACTTGTAGGCAGCTCAGTTGCTCTGCAATTGAGAAACAGACATTAGTTTTTTAAAATGTGTGAGTTCATGGGGATCCCTGGGTGGCGCAGTGGTTTAGCGCCTGCCTTTGGCCCAGGGCATGATCCTGGAGACCCGGGATCGAATCCCACGTTGGGCTCCCGGTGCATGGAGCCTGCTTCTCCCTCTGCCTGTCTCTCTCTCTCTCTCTCTCTCTCTCTCTGTGTGTGACTATCATAAATAAATAAAAATTAAAAAAAATGTGTGAGTTCATTGTAATTTTTCTGGACTAATATTTAAGATCAATTCTAAGCACATAGGGAAAAAGATCTATAACTGAAAATTATTTCAGAAATTTTACCATGGTTCATTTTCGAAAAGATTATACACCATGAATAAGGCTGATCAGTATTAGACTAAGAACTCAAGAGTAGGTTCTTTTTTTTTTAAGATTTTATTTATTCATGAGAGACACAGAAGGGCAGAGACAAAGGTAGAGGGAGAAGCAGGCTCCCTTCCGGGAGCCTGATGTGGGACTCTATCCTGGGACCCTGGATCATGCCCTGAGCTGAAGGCAGATGCTCAACCACTGAGCCACCCAAGTACTCCTCAAGAGTAGGTTCTAAGGGACAAAGTCCTCACACCCCAGTGGCTCAGAGAGATGGGGGTTTAGCACTCAGGTGCTCATCACCATGAATAATAACTAGAAGGCCACCAGAGTTTGGTCTGATGTGCTCTTTAAAGGGTCATTAGTTGATATCAGAAGTTAACATTTTTCTTTTTTTTTTATATGACTATAAAAATTTAAAAGCATGTTATAAATTTAATTTTATTGCTTTTGTGGTCTTACTGATTTTGACTTTGTACATTTGTTTTAGTTTTGTATTTTTTCTAAGATCTGTAACAAAATATAGCTTGTTCTATATTTGTACATAATTATGAAAATATTCTTTGGGCAGGTAAGAACAGTTTATTTTTTCAAGTTTATTTTTTCAACTTTGAGAAAGTCTGATCTGTACCTGTATTTTTAATTTGGAATCCAGCTATTCATGGAAGTGATTTCTTGGTTCAAGATTTCACTTCTTCCTTCCTTATCAAAAATCTGAATACGTTTTTTTAAAAAGTTCTCGTCAATAATGAAATGGAGCTGAAGTGTTTTGTATTATATTATAATGAGAATGGTTTTCTTAGGTTCCTTATAACGTGTATAAAATCCGTTTTAGAAGGAGAATTTCATAAATTATGAAACAATAAAAAAATATGTGTATACACACACACACACACAGCTGGCTAGCTAGAGATACGGTATGAATACATGCCCTCAGGATAAGGACTTTACAATTGAGTAACATATTTAGGGAGAGTTTGGTTAATTTTTTACCTTTTAGGTTAATTTTAAGCATTTGCTAATGGCACCAAAGTATTTTTTTAAAGATTTATGTATTTATTTTAGAGAGAGGGAGGGAGAGAGAGCTTCAAGCAGACTCTATGCTGAGTATGGAACCTGACACAGGGCTTGATCTCACAGCCCTGAAACCATGACCTGAGCCAAAAACCAAGAGTGTGACTGATCTGACGCTTAGCCAGCTGCACTACCCAGGTGCCCCGGCAACAAAATATTTTGACTTTTCAGATTTGTATGGCTTATACTTAATCATATGGAATGCAACCTCCGTTTTCTGAGCATACTCATTTCTTACTATTTTTATCTCCATAGACCTATATATCCTGTCCATTTCCCCATCTGATGAGATAGCGTATGCTAGGTGGCCAGGATGGTGCCCAGTGTGTAATGGAGACTAAATAAGTTTAGCCCTTATTTTTCTTTCTTTCTTGAGCATGCATGGTCCAGGTTTGGGGGGAGTCAGAAGAAAGAGATGGAGAGAGAGAGAGAATCTCAAGCAGACTGAGAGAGAGAGAGAGAGAGAGAGAATCACAAGCAGACTCCATGCTGAGCACAGAGCTTGATGTGGGGTTTGCTCTCCTTACCTTGAGATCATGACCTGAGATGAAATCAAGAGTCAAATGCTTAACCAGCTGAGCCACCCAGGCACCCCATTATTTCAGTATAAACTTAGTTTTTTGTGAAAATCAAATAGAATAGCAAAAGTAAATAGGGAAATAATGCAATTTCTTTCAATTCTCCTGTTTGATGTTAATTACTCCCTAACTTATAAGATGTTAGAGAGTTTCACAAATGGAAACATCAGGGGTTCCAGCCTTTATCCATATCACTACCCTGTGAAACCTCTCCTACAAGAGTCTTTCTAGATTATGTATCCACACCTAGTGGCAGAAAACTCCTATGTCCTAAATGTCTGTCATTTTTCGCCATGTTGATATAACCCCTAGAAAAATTTATCAGCTGGTCCTTATTTTGTCTTGTACAACCTGAGAGAATGTATTCTTCATCTTCATGTATCAACTCTGAGTATTTGAAGAGAGAAACCATTAAGACTTAAGATGAATTCATGTGTCTGAGGGTTTTGAATCTCTAATCACCATGGTTGCCTTTCCCTTCCAGATTCTCAGCATCTCTTTTTAAAAGTAGAGCTGTTATCCAGAAATGGATAAGATGTTTGGAATATGGTCTAACCACATTAGAGTAAAAAGGTTCACATATTCTACATATATTTTTTCTTAACCTGAGGTTGCATTTATGCCCTGGACACTGTGATTCCTTTTGTATCAGGAAATAAAGTGATTTTAAAAATGGCTTCATTTTTATTAAATGTTAGACTTGAGTGTCTATCTTAATTGACTGTTGCATAGAATGAACTGATGTTGCTCTGAAGATTTCTTTTCCTCTGGTGCATATCATGGACCACATTGTGGTTCTTGGGAAAGTGACTGTTGGTCTTCTGGACTCCACTGCTGTGTAGTCCTGAGCTTTGTGAGCTCTGGAGTAAAGCTCTCTTCTCCTTCATCACCAGGTCATCCCACTCTTCCTACATGGATGAGGACTGTGACTCGTTGGCCCTCTGTGACCCTATGCAGAGGATGAATTGCGAGGTGGACAGCCTCCCTGAGAGCTGCTTTGACAGCGGCTTGTCTACCCTAAGAGACTACAATGAATATGACTCGGAGGTGGAATACAAACATCAGAGGGGACTTCGGAGGTCACACGGCACGCAGGAGAGCTTTGGGGGCGATGCTTCAGACATAGACGTAAGCCCCAGAAATCACTGTCTCCTGGGCCATATCTTCGATAGAAATCTGTCACCCTGTTTCACTTGTATCTGTCGTGGGAATACGACTTAAAGGCTATAAATATGAAACATAGTCAGTAGAATGTTTTCCTTTTCCACCAAGGTAGGGAAAAATTATCACAGATTGACATTTGGGGCCACTCTGTTCTGTTACAACACTGACTGTAGATTCAGCTGCATATTTTTCTGCTCTTTAATCCATGATGTATATGTGTAATGAGAGACTTTGTTTTTTAATGGCTGACTAAAAACAAAAAAAAACAAACCAAAAACCAGGTTCCTGATATAAGGGATGAAGAGACGTTTGGTGCAGAAGGTGTGGCTGCCATCTTAGACTGGAAGCCCCATGGGTCCCCTAGTGAGGGCAGCGTGGTCAGTTCTTCAAGAAAGCCCATCTCGGCTCTGTCACCACAGGTAGGTAGTGTCAGAGATATTTTTTAATGAGCACTATGAATTTTCAGTGCCACCTAACTTATTAGGAAGAAAACTGGCACAACCTTTGTCACTCAGGGTGACTTTTTCCCCTAGACAGACATGGTGGATGGCAGCCATAAATCTTCCAGCTCACAGAAGGCTTACAAGATTGTACTTGCTGGGGATGCTGCAGTGGGGAAGTCCAGTTTCCTCATGAGACTCTGCAAGAATGAATTTCGAGGAAATACAAGTGCCACCCTGGGTATGATTCCTTCTTCAGTTGATAATGGGGGAATAATGTCTTCTTGGGCTTGATTTTATTTTCCTTAGAGATTATATACACAGATACACAGATCTCTCTCTGTATACATACATAATACACAGGGGTGTGTGTCTGTGTATGTGTGTGTGTCCTTGTCTATATAATGGTCCTCTTCTGTTTTGGTAAAGGCCCAACTTTAGGAAAAGACTGACAAAGGACAAAGGTATCCACTTAGCCAGTCAAAGCAATCAGACCAAGTTTAGAGCCAGAGATGACAGATTCATTTATTCAGCAAACTTCCCCTGTGTTCTGCTGTGAGCTGGATACTGTTGTAGGTACTAAGGACACCCAATGAACAGAGTCAACTGAATTCCAGCCTGCAAGGACACAACATCCCAAAGGACGGCTGGTTTTGGAGACAGGGCACTTCTGCACAGGTGGCCAGAAGAGGCTTTTCTGATAAGATGTCACTTAATGTTGATAAAGTGGCATTACTGATGGCCAGTTTGTCATGGTCAAAATCATAGCCAGGTGTGTATGTTTCCCCCCTCCTTTACAATGGAATACAAGAGTAAATACTTCTGAGAACAAGAGAGAAGTGGTGTGATTTCCCAAATTTGCATAATAATCAGTAAAAGGAGTCAAAGGTATGCAAATTATCATTCACCTTTCTCCTTCATCTAAAGAGTTCTTATTTGATAACTAGAAATATTAGAATAGATTGATTACCCTCTTCACAATGGGCATCTTTATCAGTTTATGGTTGTTATACTCTCCAAGATAAAAAGCTGAAAGTTCACTTTAATTTGATTCATAAAAAAACTGCAGTGTTTTGTTCAGCTGCTAAAGAGCATGGCATATATACAAACCTTCTGCGTATGCACACCCATAAACATGCATATATGTATGTGCACACATATTTGCGTGCACAGACACACATAAACACGCAGAGACATAACAGAGTCCCATCTACTTACACAGGCAAGTAGAACATAGATTTTCCTTTTGTTCGTAGATTAAACCTTTCCCCATGTCAGCCAACCTGCAGATGCTGCACCTGCGCACACATGTGTGGTCTGACTTGTAATTAGTATTTGAAGGTCACTCTCCTCAAAGGCCACATTCATTCCTCTCTGCCTCACTGAGCTTTGGCTTACTGGCTTTTGTCTTATCTAAAGAGGGCTTGAGAGTAAAAACCAGTGGAATTATTTACATCATGTTCCCAGTGTTCTCTAATAATTCCCTTTCAGGAGTCGATTTTCAGATGAAAACTCTGATTGTGGATGGAGAACGCACAGTACTCCAGCTCTGGGACACGGCTGGTCAGGAGAGGCAAGTGCTTTCCGCAGCGCTGTGGGCTCTGCTGTGGGCTCGCTGCGGCGCAGCCTGGGTGTGCATGGATCAGCCTCGTGGGACGCCTCATGTTGATTATGCTCCTGATCATGTCATTATTATACACTGTGTAATTACATAGTACATTAGGATTTCGGGAATGCTTGCCTTTCCCCACATTCTTCCCTCCTTCATTCATCTGTTGGTTGTGTGTGGAGATCTTTAGGCTTCCTCTGAGCCACTGTTCAGTTGGGAAGAAGAGAGAGAGCCCTTCCTGAACAAGAGAATTGAGGTGAGGCGGCCCTCCCGAATGCAGTGTCAGTGAGAGGAGGTGCTTAGCCAGGTACACGCAGAGATGGAAAGAATCTGTCGGCTCCCCTAAGTTCACACGCTAAATAGAAAACTCTTGTCTGGTGACACCGCCTTATCTTGCATTCATTGCTGAAGAGCAGACACTGGGCAAACATAGGTTTTAATCCTGACACCTTGGAGATAGAATCTCTCCAGTTGTTCAGCTAGTAAGTATGGGGTGCTGCCTGCCACTGTTCCAGGCACCGTGCAGACTGCTGAGATCCAACAGTGAGCAGACACAAATACACAAATGCTGCTCGTGTGGAGCTCATGTTCTCTAGCAGACTGAGAGGTTCAACATCTAAAAAAACATTCGTGGTATTGCTTTTTAAAGATACTATAAAATACTGCAGTTGGCTTAAAGTTGGGATATATATGTTGAGGTATGCCCATCCCCCAGTGGATATAAAGCTTCTGGCATGTTGCATGTTGTGGCACTCCACACTGTTAGTTTCTCTCCTATGCCGCCCCCTATAGTACTCCCCTCCCACCTACCTAAACCATGATTTTTTCTAATGTGCATCTCCTTTTCTCCTGTGTCCCACATGTGGGCTTGGGAGTTTGTGGCCAGGGCTGAAATTTTTAAGAAATTATGCGCTCAACCTTGTCCTGGTTATGCTTTATGGTTTTGTAGACATGCTTGGAATCATCTGATGAAGAGATTGCTTGGCTCCCATAGATCAATGCCCCAAATTATCATTCTGTTACCTTCCACTGAATCATTCTAGTCCTTGGAGATGCCTGGTTGCCATAAAATTCCTCTGAATGGGGATTTACTTTAGAAGATGAGAAAAAAAGCAAGCATAAGATGAAAAAGGCACAGCACCTGACCAATGGACTGCTTAGAACCATTATTTACATGCTTTTCTCTTTGGCAGATTCAGAAGTATTGCCAAGTCTTACTTCAGAAGAGCCGATGGTGTTCTGCTGCTGTATGACGTTACATGCGAGAAAAGCTTTCTCAATGTACGAGAATGGGTAGACATGATTGAGGTAAGACACTGAAACAGAGAAGCAAACAAAAAATTACACAGGAGTCACAGGCCGTGTTAGAAGATGCTATTTCTCTTCTTTGTTGAGGAGCCCACCATCAGAAAGCACTGGTGCAGGCTAGTCAGGAAGGACTAGGTGTTAGAGGGGGACTGTCTCAGGGTACCTGGCAATGTTGGCCTTTTCCTCAGTAGCTGGGTGAGTTTCCACAGAGCCACTGAAGGGAGCTTCTGGGAATAAAACTCCTAGTTTTCTTACAGATAAATTAGAACCCCTTTGGAAGTAAATGCAAATGTAGGCAACCTGAGGAGCAGCAGCTCTTGCACATGGGGTGGTATGTAGTATGAGTGGGTGTGCATAGTGTGCCCGAAGTGCAGGTTTAACAGCATGAATGTGAGCATGTGCAAAGCCAGCTTTTTTAAATGTGTGGTAACATCTATGCTTTTTTTTCTGGTTAAATGAGGTGGTATCTTTCATTTGAGGAGCTTTCATATCCTTTGGTTTCATGGTAAATAATTTCTAAAAGTAGGAAATGATTTTGACCAGTTGGTGCTGCCAACAGTTGTTAATCGACATAAAGCTACAGTTCAAGTAGTGTTTCAATATACTTTCTTGGTAAAACAAAACCAAAATTCATGGCTAATATAATTTCATGGCTAATATAATTAAGTATATTATCTCTAATTTTTAACAGGCATTAAACAGTGCAGTGGTGGCTAAACAGAGAATTGATTGCTGTATATCAGGTTAGCCTCTAGCTTCTTCTGTTGGGTCTATTTCATAACCTGAAAAAAAAAAGTAGAACTAATCTTCTCTTTCTCATTAAAGAAAAGATGTGAGAAATGACAAGGAAATGTACATTGTTCTACTGAAATATCATGACTTAAAATTATTATAAATATGATGGAAGTGTGTTGATGTTTATGTAGTATTTTTATTTTTTTAAGATTTATTTATTTATTTATTTATTTATTTATTTATTTATTTATTTATTTATTTATTTATTTATGATAGACACACAGAGAGAGAGAGAGAGAGAGGCAGAGACACAGGCAGAGGGAGAAGCAGGCTCCATGCAGGGAGCCCGATGTGGGGCTCGATCTTGGGACTCCAGGATTGCGCCCTGGGCCAAAGGCAGGCGCCAAACTGCTGAGCCACCCAGGGATCCCCCATAGCATTTTTATTTCACAAAATTTCCACGTTATATTCGTCTCTGTAACATATCTGAGGAAAGAAGAAGTGTAATGTTATTCTCACTTTTTATGAGAAACCTCAGGCAGAGAAAGTATATGACCTTGGCTTGTGGTTATTCAGAGTTTAGGGGTTGAATGGGGGGTTGGATCTCTTTATTGAATCCTGGTTGCTGCTGTTATAAAGCGCTGGAGGAAGCAGCAGTTTGAGAAGAGAAGCTTTTGATACCTAGAGAGGAATTCCAGGGTACATTTATTGCACAGAGAAGAAGCATCTGCTCAAGGGATAGGCCTCCTTGGATAGAGCGATGAGTCCAGAGAGTAACATAATCCCAATGACTCGTACCCACAGATATTTAAAATCCACAGCAAAATGTTTTATTGTTGAAACTGTTGGACTTAACCTGCATTTTAAGTCTTTGGTTTATGCTTGAGGACAGGAGGCCCAAAGGCAAGGTCAGCCACAATGTTGAAATAACCCTAGTGACCAGCCACAGTGTGTGCTGGGACCCCATAATTTGCCATCATTTGCTAATCACCTGTATGTGGTAAGTTACCTTTCCAGCTACGTGGATCACCTTTCAGAGGGTCCAAAATGGATGAAAACTGTATCCAAGATGAATTCTTGAATTTGTCACGGGGAAAAATTAGATACCCCTTAGCATTTGACTTTTACCTTCAGAAATAAAGGGCTTGATAAACCTCTGCCATAGCTCACCCTTTCTAATTTAAGGAAATTCAATGGAGACAGTTTATGTGGCCACTATAAATATGGGTGGAAATAAAGAGTGATTGTTGGGGTAGGCCAGAGGATGGCAGGAGGTAGAACATCAGTGGTGAGTAGGCCCTCTGAATTAATAATTAATACACTTCGATAAAAGCCACTGGGTTACAGAGTCGTACAATAAAATTGTGGATAAAATAAAACTATGGCCATGTACTTACCTGTCGTGAGTAATGTATTGATTGAAATCTTGGCTGAATGTTGAGTGGAGGAGACACTGGAGACATAAGATCTCTTCTTGACTTTTGTGCATGCACTGTTCTAGAGTCTGCAAGGTACCCACAGTAGGGGAGCTCGTCATACCCTAGTAGGAGAAACAATAAGCAACAAACAAAGAAAATAAATGGAATGACAGAAAATGATAAATATTGTGGAAATAAAAAGAGGGAAGGAGAAAGACCTGGGCACCGTACTGCAGGTGGTGTGGTCAGGGCAGCCTCACTGGAAGGTGGTGTTCAAGTCAAGACTTGAAGGAGTTGCCAGTATTTATGGGAATAACTTTGGGAAGCCATTTATATGCTTGGGTTCTTGGCTTACTTAAGTATTTAAGGGATACCCCTTTGGAACCTGAACAGTTTGCCAAAGAACACAATTAACTAGCATGTTAATGGATGAGGCACCTAGTTTTGGGGAGGTCCTTTCACTCCCTTTTCCCATCTGCTCTTACTACAGTCTGGTGCCTTTGGACGACAGTGGTCTGAAGAGAAACGAAATCAGATGTAATGCTGTCATTTTTAAGGCTCGTTTCTTGATCCCGTGACAGGTGTGGTACCAAACTGAGAAAACACCTGGCACCTCTGAGCAGTGTAGGGGTAATGTCCATACACCTTAGGGCTGCTGCTTCTCTTGCATAGGAACCAGAGCCCTGTTGTTCTGTGCCATTCAGATGGTCTTCCTCTGTTCTCATCAGAGTCTCCTTGAGGTGGAGTGGGTCCTTACTGACCCCTTCATTTTACCAGTAGGAAAACTAAGGCACAAACATGAAGTAATTTGCCTGATTTCAGAGGCACAACCAGTGAGTGGCCAGGTGGTAGGAGGGGTGGTCTCAGACTCAGCTGTGATCCTCACATTTCACATTCTATTGGGCCCAGTGTAGACCTGGAATGGTGGTGTGGTTTGCATAAACTGATTTGGGAGCATTATCCTTAGAATCAGTTTCTTCGAATGATTGGAATTGACTCCTGGTAAGAAAAATGTTGACCTTCAAGACCTTCATATTTTGCTTTTGTTGTAAACCCAATATTGAGCAGTGAGTGTGGAACTTCCAAACTCTGCTTTTATCCCATTATGCTTGAGGGATTTCTCATGTGTTTTGTACCTCAGATGATGAAGTTGATTTGTCATAACCACTCTTTGGAGTGAAAGTTGCAGAAAATTGTGTGGGTGCCACAGCCAAATATAATTCTCAAATATAAAGTTCATATTGGTTCGTATGGTGGGGGGCAGGTACGAGGGGCTTTTGGACCATGGCCCTGGCCTTTGCAAGTTCTTAATTTAACCTCTCTGAATTTCAGTGGTCTCACCTGGCAATGGGAAGAAGTTTGGCTCCTTTTAGAGAGATTTTGAGGATTGAAGAGATTACTTCCATGTCATGTGGCACCCAAGGGGCTTTTGGAGAGTGGAAGCTGCTCTTGCTAATGAAACGTGTTTCTGTTCAGTGTTTGATGAGCACACAATTTTTTTTTTCCTGGCAGGATGCGATCCAGGAGAGTATTCCTATCATGTTGGTGGGAAACAAGGCTGATCTTCGTGCTGCTGCCACAGCAGAGGAACAAAAGTGTGTCCCAGGATACTTGGGAGAAAAATTGGCCATGGTAAGGGCAAAAGTTGGTATGTTGGGATAGACTTTAGGAGTTCATGAGCTCTGTAGTCAGCAGCCCTTCAATTTTGTCTACATTCGCTTTAAGAGGTTCTTTGGCAAACCTCCACCCTTTTTCTTTCTTTGTTGTTTTAAAGATTTTATTTATTTGAGAGAAAGAGAGCATGAGCAAGGGGAGGAGCAGAAAGAGAGGGAGAAGTAGGCTCCTGCTGAGCAGGGAGCCAGACTCGGGGCTTGATCCTAGGACCCTGGGATCATGACCTGAGCCAAAGGCAGATGCTTAACTGCCTAAGCCACCCGGGAGCCCCTCCCCACTTTAATAAATGTAAGTAATTGTACCAAGGACTAAACTGCTCATGAAGGTACAGTGATAACTGAGTTATTTTCCTTGTTGAAGAACATTGACAAAGGGACCCATGATTATCCTGCCTTCCTCCTCACCTTCAGCTAGTTCCTGGAATCCTCTAGTTCTGGAATCCATGTCAAGAAAAAATAATTGGTGTCCTGTTTAGAAAACATGGCTTAATTCCAGAAGGTTACTGTGCCAAAGGGCAGTGTGTTACCTGAGTGGAAGAGAATTGGGAAACTTGGTTTTCTTTTTTCTCTAAGATTTGTGCTTAGTTGAGTAGTCTAAAATTATTTTTGGTTATGCACTTGAATAGAGGATGAAGTTCATTTCTATCTAGTTTATTACTAGGGGCAGTATTTATTCTCCCATTATTAGCAGTGTGTGAAATGCTCCAGGGTCCCCTTATGAGCCGTCTTTCCCAAACAAGGAATCAGAGGTACCTGGTGTTGGATAAGTTCACGCCATAGCAGTCTGATCTGATGCTGCTACCACTGTGTCTGCATCAGCACACAAAAGGACTTTCTGTAGCATGTGCACATGAACTTTAAAAAGAAGCTTTAGGGGCACCTGGGTGGTTCAGTCAGGTAAGCATCTACCTTCAGCTCAAGTCATGATCTCAGGGTCCTGGGACAGAGCCCTGCATTACATCGGGCTTCCTGCTCAGCAGGGAGTCTGCTTCTTCCTCTCCCTCTGCCTGCCACTCCTGCTGCTGGTGCTCACTCTTATGTTCTCTCAGATAAATAAATAAAATCTTAAAAAAATGAAATGAAATAAAAAGTTTCAGTGTCACTGTTTTAAGTTAGAAAATCTTTCTTGTTTTAAATTTTCAAACTATGAACCAAACATGCTTTTAAAAAGTCCACAGGCCCACAGCACACACCATTCTCCTTCCCTAAGGGAAACTTTCTCCAGGCAGAGACACAAAAATAACTTCATCAGTTACAATTGTGGCAAGTGAAATGCAGGAAAAACACAGAGGGCTGTGAGGTTTCCTAATAGCAAGACCTGACAGGGGACATGTCAGACTTCCAGAGCACTGAGTCCTAACTTCAGGGGAGAATTATGGAAAAATTCAAAAGGTAGGAGTCAGCCTGGAGAAGGGTGTGTGGAGGAAGGGCAGACCCATGTAGTGGGAACAGCGGGTGCACAGATCGTGAGGTGGGAGGGAATGTGGGACATGAGAGAAACAGAGGGAAGGTCAGGGTAACCAGAGCATGGTGGGCGAGGCAGAAGGGTGGCAGGAAAAGCTAGGAGGTGGGCCAGGACTACATGGTCGTGGGGCCTTGGCGGCGGTGGGGAAGCATTTGAGCATTACTTGAAGAGGAATGGAAGCATTGAAAGGTTTGAAGCAGGAGAGTGATAGGATGGTCGTATACATCACCGCTGGGAAGGAGAATAATAGAGCGCTAGACAATGTCCATTGGTTTCAGCAACACGGAGGTGACTGAATCTTGATAGGAAAATATGATAGTGTGAAGAGATGCATGTTGGCTGCCAGCCCGAAGGAGACACACTTTTGATGGATGTTCAATTCGTGAGTGGTCACCTTCAGCTATCATTTTTCCCTCTCTCAGATTATCTGATAGGGAACGTTTGTAGCAACTGGTAGGACAGTGGGGAATCAGAACCTTAAAACATGAAATTGTGTATTGTGCTTGCTTTTAAAGCAAAATAAAAATCCCCTGACTAGGAGCTGTGTCTGGAATAACTAGACTCAAATTCACTATTTTTTGAAGTATTGAAACTGTGAATCCAATTTCTTAGCTATTAGCATACTCAACAGGAGAATATTTTTATTTTATTTGTTGGTTTTAAAAGCTAAAATTGCAGGAGACTTAAAGTCTTCATTTAATTGTATATGTATCTTTTCCACAGACCTATGGGGCATTATTCTGTGAAACCAGCGCTAAAGATGGCTCAAATATAGTGGAAGCTGTTCTCCATCTTGCTCGGTAAAGTGGTGTCTTATGTTTGGAAAACTGAAAGCGGGATTGAATTTTCATATGGTGGGTGCTTAGGTCAAATTTCTTTACTCTAACATGAATATACATTGGAAAACACCATCTTGTATTCCAGTACTAGTTAGAGAAACAATTGAACATGGATCTTATAAAAACCGGTAATGCTGCTTATTCACTGTGAACGTTGGCAAAGTACCTTTACCGCCAAACAAAGCAGGTGCATCTGAGGTGTCGTTGACATTTCTGCAAAATGTCACCACAAAGCTAATAGTTGACTTGTATGAATCATTTCCAGGAACCAGATTTTAAACACAAGAGACTATTATGAAATTAACTATCTATTATGACATTTTCCGGGGTAAAGGGAAAAAACTCAACAAAGCAAATTGTATATCATGCCAGTTGAAAGCACTTTATTAAAATTATTACTCAGGTATTTATTAAGCTAAGGCAATGCTGTTAATGATAAATAACATTTGGGGATATAGATTAGAATAAAAATTACATCCTTGAGGAACTTGGATATAAATGTGAATGTTTTAATCCTTAGAGTAAATTTGATTTTTAGGAAATAACATTATCTGCTAGATTTATGCCTTCTGCCTAGTTTTCTGCCACAAATGAAAAGATGATTCTTTACTGGCCTGAAGGGATTAAATATCTGAAAGAAAAAGAAAGGAAAGGAAAAAAAAAAGAAAAGAAAGAAAATGTGCATGAACAAAACCCAGGCCAGTGACCTTTAATTGCCGACAAAATCCAGGCCAATGATTTTTAATTGTTGTCAAAGCAAAGCCATAATTTGGGGGTGGAGGGTTCTGATCATTTGTGAAATCTTAGCTTTAGTAGGATAGTTGGCCTCTTCTACTCATACATGTTGACAAGTAAAATACTTTGTAGTGTTTTAAATGCTGCTTTTCCATTGATGATTTGGTGTTTGTAGCGCTCACTGGCTGCTTAGCCTGGGGCCTTGGGCTAGATCCTTAACCTCACTGGAGAAAATCAGGAAATGGGCCCCAGGACTTTAAGTGGCCTGCTTGGCATTAGTCTGGCAGGGCTTGGCAGGTGCCTTGAGCTCAAACTCAGAGTCTCTGAACATTATCTCCTTTGATACTGGTCCAAGAGAGAGAGCCACCTGCCCCCACCACACTGGAAATTATCTTTGTGTAAAGCAAAAACAGTGCTAACTTTGAGTGTGACCTAGAACAGGTAGAAAAAAGGTAAACATTTAAATAGATTCGAGAGAATGACATGGTTTTCTGCCTGTGACTTGTAAGAGAATCATGGGCTCATATCACATTTGTCAAACAAGATTCCAAGTAAAACCTTCACAATCTGGGTGAAATAATTGACCCCATGCATGTGCGGGCACATAGGGGCCACTGTCTGTTTTGGCCGAGGAAGTCTCAGTCAACAAAGATGGGGAGGAGATTTGGTGAAATGCACCAAAAATGGAATCATTGCCGATGGTAGGTGTTTATATTTTTTCAGGTGCTCATACTGGTGTTTCATTACAGTGTACTTGGTGGTTCCTGGGTGGAGTTGGTGTGCTTGCCGGGCTAGATGGGTGTGGGAAGGGCCTGCAGGTCTTTAGAGCATTGCCGGGCCTGAGACTGAACTGGAGCAGATGGTGTTGGGGGGGGGGGACACCTTACCTTTGGCAGTGGGGTGCTGGCTTGCTGCTTCGGCCCAGCAAAGGACACTGCCGGCCAGGCCCCTGCGTGCGAGGCTGTTGCCTTCTGCCCAGCTTATTGGAGGACCATGGTGTCAGGAGATCTTAAATCTCCTCTCAAACAGCTTGTGGATTCAGACAAGTCCCTGTGTCTCTCTTGGCATCTCTAATCTGTAAAATGAGGGAGGAGCTGGAAAAAATGATTCCCAAGGGCCTCTCCTTCTGACACTATGGTTCTACACAGAACAGCCGATACTCCACAGAGTACCATCATTGCTCTTTGATGCTGAATTGTCTAATGGGGTCATATTAAAAGTTAAATGACTCCAAATTGCCATGGTCCCACCCAAAGTGCCAAATTTATTCTCTTTATTCTATCATAAAGGTGGGAGAGGCTGTGAGCTGCCTGTGTGTTTCACCCCACCTGCTCCTGCCCAGCACCCTGTTTTCAGCACAACTGCCACACTGGCTTGTGCTTCTTCACTTACAACACCTGTGTGCAGAGGCATTTTGATAAGAGGTCACTCCTTGTGGATCACTTATCAAGGAGTTATTTTATTGTTATTACTGCACTGTGGCCTGGTGTGAGGTCTCTGGTTTAGTTATGTTAGTGGTGTGTTAAATATGAAAATTGTAAATAAAGCAGGTATTTAAAGTCTTTAATTTGCTTTGTATCCTGCTTTCATATTTGTTTGTTAAAATGTCTCATGACAATGGTAGAGTTGCTGCAGGTGAAATGATCATTTTTAAAGGTTTTACATCCTTTAGAAAGTTATGTATAATGTAAAACATGTTACATTCTCGGTTTAGATCTCATAAGACAATTCCCATCACGGCTCTTTTCACACTATGCCATGTCGTAAAATGTGAACTAGATGAGTTTATGGATTTGCACTGTCTGAAACAATTCTGTTTTGAAGGGAGGCCATAAATGTTTGGTTAACACCCTAAAATACTAGTACTGCTTTTTTGGGAAACCTCTCAATACCAGGAAAAGTTTCTTCTAGAAATGCAATTTCCCTGTGGTGCTGACAGGACATTTATCACAATCATTGTCTGTTGGCAAGTGAATCTGCCATCACTAGAACCACTAGCTTTACACATTTTGCACTAGATTCAAGTTCCAAAGGCATTTAATTGATCAATGGCCTGAGATTTGAAAAACAAAACAAAACAAAAACACAAAAAGAACTCAGGCTGATGTATCAGTTTAGCCCAGGCTCTGAGCCTGTAGGTTAGACTGAGTCATCTAAAATGCAGTTGTTCAGCGTGTAGTAGTTTTTGGTGAGACAGTCTAGTTTTCCCAGCTTTAAACCTGTTGTAGGTGTTTGGAATATCTTTCTAATTTCCTTGAAGTGGGAAATGCCTGCACTTATGGTGGATTAAAGAAACCGAAGGCCAGATGAACAACATGGGTACATATTTTTCTCCTTAATATTTGCTTTCAGGTTCAATAACTGCATTATTGAGAGAGCACTTGGCCCATGGAGGCCCCATACGTGGTTCAATAGAGATATCAAGGAAGTAAATACTTGCAAGCTATACAGTTTAACATGAGAGGGAAAACAAAGAAAACATTTGACCAGGAAGCCAGATGATTGTAACTGATAGAGGCTATTGGACCGCCCAAAAGGGAGACATGGGAGTTGTCTTGTGTAGGTGCTATGTTTATTATACCCATTCTGCAGATAAGAAAGTGGAGGAGTAGAATGCTTAATCAACCTGCTCAGGGTGGTAGCACTGGGACTTATCGCTACCACTCTGAAGCATTGGCTTGCCACTTCAGGATTGGCAATCTCAGGATTGCGGTCCACATTCTCCTCTTTTTTACTCTCTCTCTCTATTTCTCTCTCTGCCTAATGTCTTCGAGCCCTAGGGTTTCTAGAACTGTCTCTAGCTGGCAACTTCTCCATTTTCTATATTTTTAACCTCCACCTCTTTTTAAAATTCCGTAACCACATCCCACCCATCAACAAGTGGAAATTCCAAAGGTGTGACTATATCCAACATGTCCAACCCTCAAGACCTGGCCTCACCTATTTTTCTGGTTGCATCTCTTGCTTCCCAAAGGAATGATAATCTGTAGACACAGCAAACTTTATTTCTGCTTGTGGCCAAGCTCTTTTGTGTCTCCTTGCCTTTATGCATGCTGTTCCCTGCACCTGGAATTTCCTTTCCTCATTAAGTGGAGATCAATTTGTGTTCTTTTAAGAGGTCCCTCTTCTGGCAAAGTATCCATGCAGCTCCATCTCTTCCTTCCCTCCAGCACAACTGTGGTGTACCCTCTGTATTCCTGCATCGTACCATACATGTGTTAGTAGTGTTTTGGCAACCTTGTAATGATGTGTTTAGATTTCTGTCTCTCCTTCAAAGCTCACTAATCGAGGGTCCCAGAATTTGGCATGAATTGGACATTTGTTGAGTGACCAAATGTCTGAGATGATGCAAGTGGAAGTTATATTAGTTTTCTGTTGTTGCTGAACAAATTCCCACAAACATCGCTTAAGCAATGCCAGTGTATCACGTTCCAGTTCTGGAGGTCAGGAATCTGAAATGAGTCTTACAGGATGCTTGAGGTCGGATCGTATATCTTCTTTCTTTTCCTGAATCTTTGTTTCCTCATCTGTAAAGTGAGTATAATAATGCTCACCTGTCACCTGTCAGGTTGTGTGTATGTGTTTATGTCGTGTGATTGTATATGTGTATTAAGTAAGAGAAATATGAAAATGTATAGTATAGCATTTATTAGCTGGCCTTCAAGAATTAATTTCTCCGTCTTTTTTTTCTTCTGCTAAGACATCTTCTTTCTAACTCACAGCATAGTGGTTTCCAGAACATGTCAGCACTTTCTGGAGTGGTGCTGACTAATTTGGTAGCCACTAGCCACCTCAAGTGTGGCTAACCCAAATTGGAGTGTGCTGGTTTTGAGTGTGTACTGGATTTTGAAGACAGTATAAAAACCGTAAAATACTTCATTACTATTTTTATTGATAACATGCTGAAATGATATGTTTGCTATAGTGAGCTAAATAAAATATATTCATGAAATTAAACTTACCTGTTTTCTTTTTACATTTTTTTCTAAATGTGCCTCCTAAAACATTGAAGATTACCTATGTGGATTACATTACATTCCTATTGAACAACGTCACTCTACTAGGAATATGCCAGTTCTAAGTAGTTTCAGGTATCTGCTGCTCTGTAATAAACCAAGACATAGTTGCCTAAAACAACTATCACTTTTTAATTTCCTGAAATTACCAGAATTGGCTGGCTCTCAGCTGGAAGGTTCCTCAACTGCTCTTGCTTTGTGTGTCTATGCATTTGCAGTCAGACGGTGGCTGCTGGGCTATGGCTCAGGCTGGATGGCTGACACCAGGGTGCCTATCCTTGTGGCTGCTCAGCCTCAGAACCACTCTGCTGGCCCTCTCCACTGAGGAACTCTAGCAGCTAAGAGCAACCAAGCCTTACTAACACCTGGCTTGGAGTCCCTGCCCACCATCCTCTGCATTCTGTTGATCTAAGCAGTCAAAGAGCCAGTCCTACAGAGGGAGAGCCCACAGTGGGGGTTCTCTAGTCTTGATGGGGAGCCCCAGGCACTGATGGGGAAGGTAGGATTGTTTGCGGGCCTCTTGGGGATGAGCTGTCCCAGTCAAGATTGCCATCCAGGGTCCTGTCTGAGATGGGACTTTAGGGTCTGCATGTTTCCCAAGCATCCCTGGGAATACACTTGGAAGGATCCTTCCCTAGGAGGTTTTCACAAGGTCTTAGAGATCTTTTGTCATTGTAGCCTCTAGTGTTAATTCTAAAAGAAATTTAGGAAGAGGCAAAAGGAAGATTTTTTTTTCTGGATATTAACCATTCATCATTGTCTCCACAATCGTGTATAATTAAAGAGTGGTTATAAAGTCATCATTGCTTTTGTTAAGGTCAGCAAGTATTAGAGATGGAAGCCAGGTTCTAGAGTGCTAAGGAGTGAGCTGTGCATGTGTTAGGCTGTAAAGCATGTGAAACCACAGCAAAGAGCAGGAGTAGGCCGTCGTGTATGCAGGTGTGACTGTGTGCGTACCTGTGCACGTGTGTCCATGTGTGCCTGCCTTGTGCATGCGTGTGGTCTGGTGATCAGAGCGCAGGCGCAGAAGACAGCCTGCGTGATTCCCACTCCAGCTAGAGGCTTCTCCAGCCATGTAACTGGAGGGAAATTTCTTAACCTTTTTTTTTTTTTTTTTGTCTTGCTTCCTCACACATAAAATGGGACACAGCAAAATCTCATGGTCCTTGTGAGGCTTTAAGACTGTCAATACCTATAAAGCATTTAGAACAGTGAATGGGTGGCACACAGCAAGTGCTCAGCAGTACTGTTTTTATTTCTACAGAACCATTTGTGGTTTAGTTTCATACCTCATTTATTCATTCATTCATTCTCTCTCTCTCTGTCTCTCCCCTCCCCCCACATCCCCCAGGGAAGTGAAGAAAAGAACCGATGAAGATGACAGCAAATCCATTACCAATCTGACTGGGACCAGTTCCAGAAAGTCAACCCAGATAAAGAACTGTTGCAGTAGTTAAATCCCAAACATCCTTGGCCTGTCAAGTCTTCAGTCCCAGAGTACGGGGTGTCTGGTGACTCGTTTGCTTCTTGCAGAGTGGCACATCCTCCAGACTCTGCCATGTGGAAAGTTACAGTGTGAGAATCTGAACTGTGCTTTTAGATCCTTCTGGAGCCCTGGCTCTTTGCTATGTCTCCACAAGTGATTGGGGTCCTCGGTTAAATGTACTTGTCTTGGCCTTGCAGTGTTTCAAAAGATAATATGTAAAAAGGACTAAAAAAATCACATGCTCAGATCAAAGCTGTAGAAGAAACTTCCTGACGTAGATTCACGTGGTAGTAGCTGACTTTGTAGATAATCTACAACATTTTTTTCAAGTATTTGATACTAGAATACTAGTAAAAGGGGATTATTATCCTAGCTTTGCTGTTAACTAGCCTGTAGTCTCAGACCTGTCAGCAGCCACAATAGATCTGTCTCCTTATCTGCAAAACAGGCAGCTTGGCTCTGCAGGCCTGGCCTCTCAGACTCTGTGCACTGTGAGGAGTGGGAAGGACTCCATGATGGCCCACAGTTAATGAGGACTCTGACTAGTTGTACTTTTTAAATATTGGGGTATTGAGTTTTCTCATTTCTGGAACAGAATTTCATTGAGGGAAAATATGGTAATGTTTTAGGCTCCAGTGTAGACAGCAAAATCTATTTTTTTATATACAAAGGAAAAAAACATTTATGTGACAAAAAGTTGGACAAAAACAGTGAAGTCCATGGTTTAAATTCCATGTTAAAAATTCTAATGAAAACATTGGAGTCAACACCACATACTAGTCAAAGTATAATGCCCAGGAAAGTTGTCACTCTTAACTTAAAAATATGTAACAGCAAGTCATGGCCATGGGCTGGGGAAAGGCAGGAGCTGGGAGTGATTGCTAATGGGGATGTGGTTTCTTTGGGAGATGAGAATGTTCTGGAGTTATACTGTGGCAATGGTTGTATGACTTTGCAAATATATGAAATAACATTAAACTGTTAAAAGGGTGAAGTTTATGGTATGTGAATTATATCTCATTTAAAAACAACCACTTGGAATGATTTAACATTTTGCCAAATGAAAATATGCGTGCTTGTTTCAGATCTTCCCATCACTTACAAGCATAATCTCCAATGCAGTGCAAATCTCTGAACAACCTAGTTGTCGGCATTCACTTCCTAAAATAACAAACGGTAAAAGAAATGATGTATGTTTTTGGAAACTGATCTCTTCAAAAGAGGAATTATCCTTAGGAGTGGGAAGTCACAGCCCTTTGCTTAATGTGACTAGTGACTCCTCCTCACCAACAGTGTGAGGTCCTTCCAGAACCTGCAGTAACTCCTAGATTTCCCCACTAAAATGTCTCTGACAGCAGAAATGTCTCAACACCTGACCCGAGAAAGCCTGGTTTCTGGTTTTTGGTTCTCAGTGGCCTTGAAAGCAATTAAGTTATCCCCAACCAGAGATGTGAACTTAACTTTGGTTCATATAGGTCCAGGTTCCAAGTAGTCTGCTGATAAAAACTTAAATAATAACTGTTATTTATTGTGTTATATAAGCTAATAATATTCTTTTGTGTTGAATTAAAACAATTCCGATGCTCAGTTTTCCTCCTGTTTATGATTTTTATGATCAAATCTTAAATTCCCTAGCTTTATTTTTTTTTAAATGAAAACTGACCAGATATGTTACACATACAGATTATAAATAGTCACGACATCCTTGAGTTTGTAAAAGCATGCCCTCTCTTCATTGACATCTAGTTTTTTTACTGGGAAGTTTGATCTATCCCTAGCAACTCTACCATGCATTTCCATCTGCTGGCTTTGGTCACAGAAAAAGAATTTTACATTTTTGATGGGAAAGAATGCCTCGCTTGTGGAGTCTTGTCAAACTGAACAGGGAAGGAGGTGGTTACTTTGGTGCCATGGTGAGATACACATTTTGCCACTACTGGTTGCCTCCGGGGCACCTTTGGAACCCAGGTTAGAAAGGATCTATGGGTTGGCATATGGGACACATGTTTCCGGTATTTGGTGTAGTTGCAAACAACTGTGTTAGTATACATGTTACTGTGTTGCCTTTATTTATTTTCCCCCAAAGTGCCTCTCTGTATTTGTCTGACAGTTTGTACATAGAACATATCTTTGATACAGAAGTATTATCTTGGCTTTTGCCTCTGGCTTGTATGGCTAGTACCCCCAAATTGATTCTGAGATTGCACAGGCACCTTTGGTAGACAATGCAGTCGTCTTTGTTCGAACCTGAATAAATATTTTGGCAACAGAATCCAAATCAGAGACTTACAGCTCTGGTAAGCAATCTTATTTGAAGAAAAGCTACTTTAAAAGCTCTTTCAGCTGCATTGGTGGGAAATCATAATTATCAGCAACATTTAATTTCAGGAAGGTGTTCTCAAGGTATATTTTTTATGAGAAGAAAATATTTAATGTTTTTAACCTAGACTTAATGTGACACATTCGCATAGTCCTATGCAACTAACTCATCTTGACTCAATTTTTCCTTCGAGAGCTTTTAAGATCATGATTATACAATGCTCCTTTTTTTATGCATCCTGACACATTGGATAATATTTTAATTTTATCATGGAAAATAATGTTGGATAAGGAGACACTTTTCTCTGTTAACTTTTAGCTTCATTCATTTTCATAATTTATTTTTTCCACTTGCTGCTTTATATGACATATGTGACATTTGATTATTTAATACCAAATGTGATTTGCATAAACCCAAGTCACACAACTCTCTTGCTGAAGATAAAATTGAGGTTAAAAGATAAAGATTTATTTTCATATTTGTATAGTGATCAGCTTCAGAGTGAAGGCTTTTGTGGGCTTTTATTGTATATGTGTGTAAGAAATTTCATATGTATATATTAAGTAGGCCTCTGAGTATTGAATAATTGTTTCATGATTTTGATTTATTTGGTTTACATTTTCATTGTATCGGCCATATTTCATTTATACTGTTTATTTCTCTTCAAACCATTAATAATTATACCATAAAGTGTAATTTTTATAGCAATGCAAATGTCTAAGGAACTACAAATATTTCCTGCATTGTAAATTTAATAAAGCATGCTTCCTTTGGCCTTTCGTGTGTTTCCTTCGGCTTTACTGGAGACATCCCTGAAGCAGCTTAAATTTTAGGATGTGCCTGCATGAAACCATACCTCTAAAACAATCATCTTTTCTGGCCTAGGCAGCTGGCTGGTTGGAGAAAAGAACGAACACAGGGTGTTCAGTGCTGTGGCACGACCATGTCATCTTGGCCCGCGGGGCAGCAGGTCACACCAGGGTGTGACAGCCACAAATAGGGAAGGAAGCTTTTGTAGAAAAATTTCAGTACGGGTTCTGGCCATCCTCATGCCCTCAGGCTAGTCCCTTTCTCCGACACCCATCCTGCTCCTTCCATCCCCCCACACTGCCTAGCCAGCTCTGCTCATCCTCTTTTTTTTTTTTTTTAAGATTTTACTTAATTATTCATGATAGTCACACACAGAGAGAGAGAGAGGCAGAGTCACAGGCAGAGGGAGAAGCAGGCTCCATGCACTGGTAGCCTGACGTGGGATTCGATCCCGGGTCTCCAGGATCGCGCCCTGGGCCAAAGGCAGGCGCCAAACCGCTGCGCCACCCAGGGATCCCTCATCCTCTGTTTTAGCTGAAACCTTTCTTCCCTCAGGAAGTCTTCCCTCTCAGCCCCTAAACTAGGTGGAGGCTGACAGCTCTCCCTCAGGCAGCACCCTTTCTAACTGGTCAGCGGTTTAACTAGACACACAGGCCCGAGCCCTGGGCCCTTTGCTGCCGCCTCCCTTCTGCTGTATATATGCTAAAATGGGTAAGCAGATAATTAACTTTAAATAGGCTTTGGAAAGAGTTTCCGCAGACACGCACACACCTGCTCATCTGCAGTAGCCCTGGACGGTGAAAGGAGAGGCAGCATATGCTAATGGCCGTGGGCCTGAGCTCTGCAGCCAGCCCCATATTCCTGCCCGTAGGGTTATTATGAACAAGGAGCTTACCCTCTATGTACCCCAGCTGCTGCCTTGATAAAACAGGAGTAGGGGTACCATTCTTATGGGATGCTTATGAGGACAACATGAGTTAATATATATACATTATTTGGAATAGTATCTGGCACTTTGATCACCCTCAATTAAAAAAAGACATTTGTGGGGTACTTGGGTGGCTCAGAGGGTTGAGCACCTGCCTTCAGCTCAGGTCATGATCCCAGGGTCCTAGAACAAGCTCCATGTGTCAGGCTCCCTGCTCAAGGTGGGGGAAGGGGGTCTGCTTCTCCCTCTCCCTCTGCCCTTCCTCCCACTCATGTTCTTTCTCTCTAAAATCTCTCTTTAAAATTCTTTAAGGAGGGCAGCCCGGGTGGCTCAGCGGTTTAGCGCCGCCTTCGGCCCAGGGCCTGATCCTGGAGTCCCAGGATCGAGTCCCACATCGGGCTCCCTTCATGGAGCCTGCTTCTCCCTCTGCCTGTGTTTCTGCCTCTCTCTCTGTGTGTCTCTCATGAATAAAATAAAATCTTAAAAAAAAATAAAATTCTTTAAGGAAATGTTTTGAAGCACCATTGATAGCCTTGGTCTTGTTCAGGACCTTGTTAACCACCATCAATGAATAGCAGAATTCAAATTTACCAGATTACTTGGGGGACAGGGCATTATAGAGGATTCATTTTGACATAAGTTCATTGACTATGTCCCATACATATTCTTGGTATTTCGATGGACATGAAGTTGGGTATCACATGGGCTAGGATATTTGTGTAGAAGGATTCAAAGAGGAAGAAATTGAGAGAAAAATAAAGATCTGAAAGTTAGAATGGAAAATTGTGAATGAAGTTCTTACAGGTGTAGGACCTCCATTTTTTTTAAGTTTATGATTTTATTTATTCATGAGAGACAGAGAGGCAGAGACATGGGCAGAGAGAGAAGCAGGCTCCCTGTGGGAATCCTGAGGGGGAACTTGATTTCAGGACCCCAGGACCTGAGCCAAAGGCAGATGTTCAGCCACTGAGCCACCCAGGTGCCCTGGACTTCCATTTATTAAGGTCTAATTGGGTCAAGTAGTTGAAGGGATGGAGAAACCCCAGAGCTCTGATTGAGAATGTAAATCTGAATGACCGTTGACATGGTGGTGGATAATGGGTAATGGGGTTCTTGAACTAAAGAGAAAGTAATCTTTATGTTTACACCATGACAGACTGTTCAGAAGGATCTCTGGTGGATATATCCAAATACCCACAACATGAGAATTAATTCCCAGGAAAACAGTGTTTTGCAAGTTTTAAAGCAAAAATTACTTCTTTCCAGATTTAGATGTTAAGATGTTTTCAGAGCTGAAAATTGAAAACAGGCAAAAATGCCTCAGCGTAAATTGCAGGGTATGGTGAATTTTCAAATGCAAAAATCTAGAAATAGGTACCAAATTTCCTTTATTTTTTTCTGCATCTGTGTATCAGGTTTATTTGTGATTTTATATTTTTTTAAATTTCAGTAGAATGGGGTTCTAGTTGTCATTTCACTTCTGACCTCTCAGGCTGGCAGTTCGTGAGCCACATTTCATAGCATTTGACATATACTTTCATAGAGTTTCTCACTGTCCTTCAGATTTGGGCTTCCTGAAAACTTTTCCATGCATATTTTCTGGCACATCTTCCCATTGCCGTGCAACAGGGCAGAACTAAGAGCTGGATAACGATCCTTTCAGGGGCATCTTATGAGTAGTTCCAGTGTCATTTTGGGAATCCTTTAATTCACTACCACTATTTTCTTTCCTTGATCAGTCATTCCAGAATCAGATGTTTTCTCTCTAAGATGAAATCCTCAAACATTACATGATCTCTAAGGCCCTCTGTGATCTGGCTCCTACTTGTTGACTCACTATGATTCTAGACACTGAGGATAGAGAGCAGGTAAGATAGACTGTTGCAGATTGCATTTTGATAGGGGTTGACAACAAATTTTCAAACAACTAAAGATCCATATTCTGCTTCCTCTTCCCCTTTGTCCACCCCAAAATCTATATTTGGGCTCCGGGAACTCTGTTCTCAGATATGCCATACCCTCTCACCTACACCCTTTGCTCAGGCTCTGCTTTCTGCTGGAGCACTGTCTGTCTGCTCATGTCCATTTGCCTTCATAATTCTTGTCCACCCTGGGTGTCTGGGGGTTTCTCCCAGCAACTATGTGGGACCCTGAAATCTAAACTAGAGCCTCTCCTTCATGCTGTCTCCCTGCAATGCTCATAAAAGCCCTTCAGTAGTGGTCGCAATGATCAGCTGACTGTACCTGGCATGCTGGATGATTTCTACCTCCCACAGTCCATTAAACTTGACTGAGTGAAAGTAAACTTTCTCCGCCCTGGATGTCACTTTAGCAGTATCATGACTCTTTTGAGTCCTCTGGATTAGGGTCTCAACTTTCCTATTCCACAGACCACTTTGAAGCCCAGGAAACCCTCAGAATAATGTTTCTAAATGAATAAAATAAAATACAGAGGACTATAAAGGAAACCAGTGCTATTAAAGGCTATTCCCAAGATATTTTTAAAATTTTGTGATAATACAATGTTTGTGCTGCTTTATTGGCACAAGATATGGTGACAGATCTAATAGGCACCATACTTGTGGTACAGTCATGAAAGTAAACTATATTTTGAGACATCTGCACCAAGCTAGAGTACATCATGAATATCCATGGTTTTGTTGATGGCACGGTCACAGATACTAATAATATTACTGCATTTTGTTGCCAGCATTTTATATGAAACAAAATGCTAAGTTTCAGTTAGAGTTTAGTTGGTGAAAATAAACATGTAAGTTTTGTCCCAAGTTAGACATATGGATTTCTACCCATAGTAGCAATGGGCCCATGACCCAGGTAAGAACCTCTGGCCCTGGATAAGAAGGTATATTCTGATGAGAATTCCCATAAAGTAATCAAAACTCCAGGTTTGACTTAGTGGTGTTAGTCTCCTCTCTGCTCCAGCTCAGGCCTGCTTCAGCCTGGAAGCCTCATGTGGGAAGAGGGGCTTGGTCACCCTAGTCTGTCCGGCACTGCTGATGTACTACTTACCACTGATACACTTTTCAAGGCTCCAGGCAAGGGAAGCATAGTACTTACACCATGTTTTACATGTTGGCAAGATACATCTCATAGAAGAAAAGGAATGCATGTGGCCAGCCATTTTTTTTTTTTTTTTTTTTTTGTGGCCAGCCATTCTTGACCATAAAGTGTGCTTAAAATTTAAGGATAAAATGTGACCCTTGCAGGAATGTGTTGGAGTCTACCTCCTGCTTCAAAACCACAGTTTTGAAATGAGCTAGAATGAATGATTCCTCTCATAGCCATGGATACTGACTGAGGAAGTAAGGAAGGTATAAAGCCCTTAAACCCCTAAAATCAAAGCAAAAATAAAACCAATTTACAGCAAAAACCTCCACAAGTTGGCACATGGTATATAAGATTAGGAGTAAGGTCAAGTTAAGAATCAGAAGTCTTGAACGTATTCTGAGGTGAGATAACATATAAATTTTATCCTCTCTAAAATACCATTAGAACTAGAGTCATATGGATTTTCTTTTAAGGATAGTTAGACCCACAAGGACAGAAGACAATTATAACAAAATTGTGAAGCTGCAAAGTAGGTAGAAAATTGAGAACCCTGGGGATTCCTGGGTGGCTCAGCAGTTTAGCACCTGCCTTTGGCCCAGGGCATGATCCTGGAGTCCCAGGATCGAGTCCCACATCAGGATCCCTGCATGGAGCCTGCTTCTCCCTCTTCCTGTGTCTCTGCCTCTGTGTGTGGGTATGCCTCATGAATAAATAAATAAAATCTTAAAAAAAAGAAAATTGAGAACCAGATTAACCTATGGAAACTGATTCTTAAATCAGTAGTGAGAGAAAACTTAGAATAATCTAGATTTACATTGTGAATTTCCCAAAAGGCTGAGGAACTAGGGAAGCAGGTACCTCTGTAATTGGTAGCAAAAGGGAAGGTGGGGTGAAAGTTTGAGAAGCAGTTCTATCCTTAACTATTGTTCTTCCCTGCATGCTACTACTATCCAGACCAAAGTCTGGAGATGT